TATAATCGCACTTGTATCTCACCAAAGCCCAGTTCTTTTGTTAAGAGGACTAGTTGCAGGGTACCTGGGCGGCTGAGTCAAATTGGGCAAGACCTTGTGAAAAAATTCAAGCCTCTGTAATTAAGGAATACTTAAAATATTTCAGCTAAAAGTATATATATATCTATTTAATGATAAATATATTAAAGTAAACATCTAGAAAAAAACTCATTGTAAAAATTGTAAAACAATAATCCAAAGATAGAAGTGAAATCTTGATGAAAAGTATACTTGATGAACAGTATACATTCAAGATAGAGTTGTACTAAGTGGGTCATTAGAACTGAAGACTGAATCAAGCTTTCACAACACTGAGGGATTCCAAATTTCAACTTATTACATAGTGTTGGTCTTAGATGACAAAAGCTTATGGCTTAAACAGATGCAGTCAGGTAAAATTAACAAACATACTTGACCATTTCCTGAAAATCCAATGAAGTGCCCAAATAAATGACTTGGATTAAATTTAATTATCTCACATGTCACCAAGTTTAAAAATTTCACCCATTTAAAATAATAGTCATTGAACTAGATACAAGAATTTGGAAAATATTCAGGAACCATCAATAAATTTGAAGAGGTAACAACAAAAAATCCTGTTTATACATGATTATCAAAATAAGTAAAGACCATTTTCAGACTTTGAAAAATCCTTCTTGATAAATATTTCAAAATTAACGAGTACCATATAAATTTGAGTTAGGTTTTGAGTTTAAAGAGGTCACTGCTGGTATTCTAGAGAGGTTTGCTTAGAAAATGGACTAACTGCCTATAGCTATGTCATGCGACTCATTTTTAAACATAGTTTTAAAGATTGAACAGATCCTGAAACTGTTAAATTATTTTCGTCCATTTTTTTTAAATCAAGAAAATTAAATTTAAAATACCTTAAAAGTTATAAGCTTTAGCTTAACAGGAGAATTTACCATGAAAAGTAAAGGAAAAGATCAAATGGCACTGATTCAAAAAGGTGATCATTTGAACTGCATCACAAGGGAGCCCATATGATCTGAGCATCAGAGGCAACTATCTGTTTTTTTTTAAAGTTATTAAAAAATGCTCTACAACTAATGATGAAGAAGATAAAATAAAGAGCTGTCCTGGTTTATGATTTAATAAATAATTTACAAATTTAACTTAATCATACAAAAAATTTTTTTTATTTATAAATATGTACACATTAGATTAAAATAGCTTATGACTGTGAGCTATTTTGTAAGGAAGTTCACAAAACTTAAGTTAGATGCATTCATTCATTTTTAGGTCTTATCATGACATATATCTTATGTCATTTGAATGGGGCCATAATGGCACTTTCAACGTAGATAACACATCCAACAGTCATAGTTTTAAACAAATTAATTCTTGAGACAAAAAACCAGCATTTTGAATGCCTCTAGTGGATTTTAGCCAAAGCGTCAACTTAATTACGGTCAGTGTCAAGTCAAAAACCCTGGCATACTGTGAGACACATACGATACAAGACTAGATCTGGTTGAAATCTCTCGACATTTAAAATAACATCTCAAGACTAGAATAACCATTTGTGTTTTGCCACCCTCTTCATCATTTAGTCACTGTATAATAAAAATGATTCTAATTTATATAAATACATTTCAGCACAGTTCTTAAATTTTATCAAACTTGCCAGGCCAAAAAAACAGAGCCTGTCTGTAACTATTGTTAACATCTTGATATGTAGCAACAGTTTTTTTTTAATGTGCCACTAATATATTACTTCTAACCCAAGCCTGACAACACTAACCTCTTGTACAATAATTTCTCTACATAACATTGGCCTTTTTGCTCATGTTCTTATCCTTCATTTCTTTTGTTATAAAAGATTATTTTGGACATCTTAAAATTAATACAAATATAGATTCAAAATTTCTCTCACTTGTGGGATATAAACGATGAATATTAGTCAATACAGGAATGGTTCTTTAAAAAAAATTAATTTAAAAAAAAGGTTTAATACAAATATTCTTCATAAAAGATACTGTATAAATAACAAGTCTAGCTAAACAAGTTAAAAAAAAAATTCTTGTCTGTTTATTTCTAGTCGAAACTGACAAAGTTGAATGAGGTGCACCAATATTAACATCTGATTGAGAAGTTATGAAAATATTGAACACATACACTTAAAATGCATCTATCACTTAGGGTTAAAAAAAATTATTAATCAAAATCAAACAAGGTAGGCAAGTTTGGCGTTTGAATGAGAGGATTGGGAACTGTCCTAAAATAGATAATTGGTGATACTCATTGAGCCGGAGAAGGAAATATTTCATTCCAAATAATCATTTCCTTTTTAACTTTATCGATGTTTAAAAAAAAAGTTAACAACCACTGTTAAATTCTGATTTTAGCTGATTATAATTTACAATACTAATCAAAACATCCATTATATTTAACAAGACTACAATGTTTTGTTTACTATTGTTACAAAATGGAATCAAAATAACTTCAATAAAAACTATATATATTTATATTGGACATGGTTTAAAGGATAATTTGAAAGACAATAACTGCTTAAAAAGATGAAATTGAATTTCAAAGTTCAGTAGAGAATTCTTCACTAATTTAGTACCGGGGTTAAAATGGTTAAAAATATGTCTCCTTGGCTTTCATAGGAGCTCAAATTTTAACAAATTCCAAATAAATAAATAAATGCAATAAAGTTGAATTATACAGCCAAATTTTTAAAAGGGATTATTTCATCCTTTCTAACAATACAGTTCATAATATATTCTTGAATGCCTTCATGTCTCATTTTGATAATTGTCTTCTGGTCAGACTTTAGAAATTTCACAAGAATGGTGTGGTTGATTGACAAGCTTAGTTTACCCCCACCACTGACCAGAATACACAGAATGAAGGGTTGATCTGTGCCACAAATGGGGAATATTCACTGGTACCTAACAGTTTACTGGAAGTATTAATCTGTGGTACCATGATGTAGCGATGATGAGACGTCTACCTTATAATACTAATGTGTTGTAAAACAAGTGTCCACTAACATGTACTACTAGATCGTTTACTACATTTTTATTCGGTTATAAGCCAATACTTTCATACAGGTGAGATACAAGTGCCACAAAGATAAACAAGACAATCTCAGACAGAACTAATAATTTATATAACTACTTGAGAAACATTCTTTAAGTTCCAGGTGATAATTTTAAAAATAAAATACATTTCACAGGTGCTGAGCAAATATGCAACAAATGCTAGAGGACTCGGAGAAGGTTTATCACCAGTATTTGTAAACAGGCTTAGTTTTCAAAATCAAATATAAGTAGAGCATTAAATAAAAGAAGTGATTAATTCTAAGTAAAGTGCAATTGAATTTCAGAAAATTTCTGGCAAACAAAATCATTGGTTTAGTAAAGGGAAATTCTTATAAATGTAAAGAGCATGTGAAGGGAACAAACAAAAAATTGTATGTATACAATAGTTTTATAAAAAAAACAAAAAGAAAAACTTTTTTTTTGTTTTTTTTAGACAGAGCAGGTTTGATAAAAAAATATACGAAAAATCATTGGTAATATTACTGATGTGTCTAAACCAGTAGTTCTTGACCTTTTTGGAGGTACCGAACCCCATCAGTTTCATATGCGCATTTACCGAACCCTGCTTAATAGGAAAAATAAATATGATTTTTTTCCTGATTTTTTTTTTTGGACCTCCGCCGAACCCCTGACACTGACTCACCGAACCCCTGGGGTTCGATCGAACCCAGGTTAAGAACCACTGGTCTAAACTATTATATGTCATCTATGGGGAAATCGAAAGCAACTATAATTTTTAAGCATGACCCACAAGTGAGGTTTTTATGACTTAACTGTGTAAAAAATAAAATATTGTTTAAAGAAAATTATGTTTTCAAGCTTCTTTTAATAAATCCTAAATTGGGAACACTCTTGTAGTCACTTCTGGATAATAATTAATAAAGTTAAATATTTTAAGCAATGTCTCATACTAAATTTATTCTAGGCATAATCTAATGTTTACTCTTACCGTAAACATAGTGTAACAGATATTATAGATTTAAGCTTTGAAGAAAAAAATTTCATGCCAAAATAAAAAGCTAAACTTTATTTAAAGTTTCTGTAAAAAGACATATTTTCCAAAATAAAAGTGTCCTTTCAGAATTAAAATACAAAAAAATAAAATAAAACAACCAATTAGTATTAACATTTTACACTGCCAACAATGTTATTTAAATTTACAAATGAACACACGATTAAAACAAAACTACTACATGAGGTAAAGCTAAGGTGTATGCCTTCAAAGTACACACTCTTTGAAATAAAAAGCCTTATTTTTCATTCATTTGAGCATACCATGCTGTAAATATTCTTTTACACAGCCAACAAATGTACTACAGTTAAGCTTCAAGTGGCAACATGGAATTTAGAAGTAAAAAAACAATTTACAAACACAAATGTTAAGTAAAAAATAGCTACATAAAAAATGACTTTGCTTGATGCTCATTGCCAGTTATAAAAACATGAATGAAAAATTATCTGACCTGGGAGTTTTCTTTGTTTACATTTGTACAAGAAGATAATGATCTTCTAAGCTGAAAGTTCCAACAGAAATTTTGTATAAAAAGAACACACAAGAAATGTTTCCACTGATAAACACAGGAATCATGTAAGTAAAACAGCAGGAGTTAATCTTTTTACAAAAACAGCAGGAGTTAATCTTTTACAATTTTGCTTTAGTTGAACTTACATCGGCGATTATTTAAAATTTGCACATTTTTTTTAATCAACATTGTTCAGAAGATTAATGTGAAAAATTAAAACCATAATTACAAATGCCCCTAGATTGAATACTCAACGGAAAAGGATCATGTTATTAAAATAGTTATACGTTTAACACGGTTTTAAAAAAAAAAAAAGAAAAGCTATGCACATAGCCAATTAAAATCATCATATGAGAGGTTTAAAAGGATGGAAACGTAAAGAATTCAATAAAAAAAATTTCATAGTTTCTTTTCAAACCAATGTACAAAATGTGGCAAAATTTCAAAGTTTATTTAAATTTAAAAAATAGCAATTTGCTTATCTGTGACAAAAAAAAATATTGATATTTGAATGGACACACTTTAGTCTCACTTTTCAAGATTTTGTATACATCTTTTTGGGGTCTGGCATACTGTTTTATGTAACATATTCTAATTAATAATAGTTAATCAAAGCAGAAGTGGTGAATTTGTTCAGTTTAAGCAACAACAAACAAGTAGTAAACCAATAACAATGAATCCCAGTTTTTTCTTCTCAAGGTAAAGCTTTAAAAAAGTTTATCAATATATGTTTTTTTTTAAAAGATGAAAATAATCAAATTATGATTTTTATTTTCATTGACTCACCAACCACTACCCTTCTAATGCACAATGATTTTTCTTAAATGAACATTCTTCTTTAATTTGTAAACTTGGAGAAGAGAGGGGAAAAAATATATGTGTATACTTTTATGGGTATGTACAAAAATATAGAATAATAATTATGTTCCCAGGGAGATTTACAGATTTACAAAAGATGCGATACAACACATGTTCCTGCATTACTAGGGCAGACATTAAGGCATGGTCTCAAAACATGATCATTTCCTGGGTTAATAAAAATATCCTAATGTACAAATGAATAGTAAAATACAAACAGTGAGTGTTTTCTTGCAAAAACTCATTAAAATAAAAAGTGGGCCATATTTGCAGCTTCGCTATTATGCATGTCAAGAATGAAGAGAACGATAAAAATTTAAAAAATTAAAAAAACTCCCAGGACCTGCTTAAAATATGCTTGTGTTAGGAGATCTGACTTAATGTCTTCACTTAAACCAAAAAAAAAAAAAAAGAAAAAAACAACTAAAAAAGTTTTTTCAATAACAAAAAAAAAAAAAAAAAAAAAATTAAAAAAACTCCCAGGACCTGCTTAAAATATGCTTGTTTTAGGAAATCAGACTTAATGTTTTCACTTAAACCAAAAAAAAAAAAAAAGAAAAAAACAACTAAAAAAGTTTTTTCAATAACCAAAAGAAGATTAAAATCTTTCTCACCAGTGAGTTATGTATTATAAAAGTCATATTTCTTGATTCAATTCTAATGTGAAAAAATAAAAATGTACCACGTTTAAGTTGGACAATGCAAATGCTTCTTTTGTAAATATACATATCATTGAAGGCACAGAGACCTAATGTTGGGACCACATGTTAAATTTTTAAAATCAAGTTTTAACATGGACAGTGGTGAAATGATACATTAACATTGCGAAAACTTTCCATGAAGGGTAAAGAATGACGTGACATTCATTCACATGAATATTATGACAGTTTAAGAAGACATAGGAAATGTATTAATACTCATCTTAAACCTTTTTGCTGTTCTTTTATGCATGAAGAATCAACAACTTTTTATTTTTACACCAAACTTTCAGTTCCTTATCTGATGGACAACTTTTTTAATGGTTTTCTTTGCTTCGTGTAGATCTTTGGGAAACCCCATTAGTAACAAAGGAATTATTCTTATCGGGAATATTATTTTTCTTGGCACCTTCACTGCTTGAGTCGCTTAACTCACTGTCAGATTCACTCCTGATGTCTTTTTCAATCTGAAAGGGGCATTATGTAATTAAAAACTACTAATTAAGTTATATGATTAAAGAATAAGCAATTCTAATAGCTAGGGTTAATAGGTTGCATTGTTACAGATATTAAATGTTTATATAAAACCAGCATAAAGTAAAAAAAAAAAAAAAAATGTAGATTTTCTAGGGATCAACATTTTCCAAGGGGTACTGCATCTGAGTATTTTGGACTACTATTTGCAGAATCTGGGTAAGAATTGAGTACTATAGTACATTTCCTACTAGTATAACTCACGGAGCTTATTGTCAACATTTTGTGTTAAACCTTAGTTTGTACTTTATAGGCAATTGGAAATGATAGATGTCCAGATTTCTTTTAAATTTGTAATAGTTCTCACAGATTTTTGCGCATGCACTCTTTCTAAGATCCAGTGCGATTAATAGATAAATTAAACATTTCTTAATATAATTCATAAAATGTTTTTGTGAGTCACGATACACCCGGACATTGTGGAAATTGGCTTGTTTGAAGTTGTAAGGCTTAAAATTTAAATGCACAAGTTTCTTGAATCTATTCAAAAATTTGATTTTCAAATATTAGCATTGATAATATTTGCAGAGGCGAATACTTGGAAAAAAAAAAACAGGATGTTCAGCCGCGTTGAATGTCTGAGACTATAAACTGTTGTTCCCTAACATTTTCATAATTATTAGGTTATGACTTATTAAACATAACATTATTATACTTTTAAATGTATTATTTTTGTAAAGATTTAATTTTTTAAATTGGAAATTGATTTATGATGAAGGGTCTGAATAGGCAGAACAAAAAGAAAAATAAACATTGTTTGTAGGAACAATAAAATCTAAAGCAAACAAAACTTACTGAACCAAGAGTGAGTTTCTGGAAAGCGATGCTTAGTATAAGGTATGTCCACATTATATGCAATAACTGAAGCACAAATAAAAGTCCATTAAAGAACCAGTAGGCTGGAAAGGTAGTCACATAATCATGGATTTCAACAGCTGATGCATTTAAAACCCTGTAAATGGAAAAGAAATCAACTGCATGAAACAAAAGATGTTTAGATAAACAAGGATACAAGCCATCATTAAAGTTGATAATTCCATTTCAAGATATGTAACTCTGGCTTACATAAGTTGTTTGGGTAAGAGCATTAAAATCATGGTTATGTTAACTTGCTTTAACCTGAGCCTGCAGTCATGTACTTACCACAATGGATAGATGAATATTCTGGATATAATCCAAGTTAATATAAACATTGCAAAAAATATTTCGCAGGTAGTTTGATGTTTTGTATACTTGGCCATTTTTGCAATCTGAGGAAAATTTAGAAGAAGTGTTAGTAGGGACTTAATAAAATTGTAATGAAATCTTTCTTTATAACAAAACAGTTTTATAAGAAGCTGGAAAGCTACATTTACTATCACTCTATAGCAGATTTCATATTTATTAAATTCAAGTTGAAAAATAAAGGAAATTCACATACATTTTAAAACAATGATAAATATTGCAATATTACAGAAAATTTACAACAGACATAACATGTTTTATTTACACTATAAAGCTCATTAAAAATGAAATTCTTTTCCCATTAAAAAATTTTTATAAAAAAAAAATACAATTAGGTAACATTATTTCTTGAAGAGATAAAAAGCAGGTTATAAATATAAACTTTTATTTCCTTCTCAGTACAAAGCATCAAGATTATAAAATGCTAAGTAACTGACAAAGGACAAAGAAATGGAAACTAAAAAAATAACATACATTGAGCCAAGGATCAGCAAAATCGTGAACTATAAGAACCAAACTCCCAACGCGTACAAAGTTGCAAGCCCATGAAAAATATATAAGAAGTATCGTCACTAAATGGTGGACCACCATCTCTTTCTTATCCTAAAAAAAATTAATATAGAAGTATCAAGTTGTTAAAAAGTTTGAAAACGTAATAATGGAGATAATTTTTCTTAATACTATAGTTAAAATCCAACATAGTAAAATTTATTTTTTCTCTCTATATTAACAGCTGATTTATTTTATAATGTAATTAGAATTACTTAAAATCTAAAGAACCTTCCTTTCAAATATGACTCAATATGAATCAATTTTTATGAATTTTAATCGGTTAAAAAAAAACACTAAATAAAGTTATGCCATAACATAGAAACTTATGTTTCTTAAAAATAAATTTGAGGATGAGGAATTTATTTCTCTTTAAAATATAGTAAATTGGCCATAATATTTTTGCAGTGTTCACATACCTTTTTCTGGTAATCTCTTTGAAAGAAAATGGCAAAAAGTAAACTCCAGTAAAAACTCAACTCCAGCAAATACAGGTTGAAAATGTCATTATCTATGTGCTAAAACGAGATATAACAAGTTTATAAAAAAATTATTATTCAGCTTAAAATTTGGTTTCAATTATGATGGTGATTTAATTAATTATCAATAAAAAAAATTATAAAAAACATAAACTAATTTCAATCTCATTTTACTTATTTGGTGAAGTAAAAAAAAATTATACATTTTAATTTTTCTATTTTAAAAACAAACTCATTAACAACTTTAATTTCTGTTAAATTTTAAAGAATCTAACCAAATTATTTAGTTTCAGTAAAAAATACCATTGCTTTTTACAGCCTAAAAAAAAAAAAAATCAGACCCATTTCAAAGTAAACATTTTGACTGTTACTATGGCATTAAGTTGCTTACTTGTTTAGGCCAACCGACCCAGCAGTTTACTGTAACCCACAACCATGGTTTCTGAAAAAAATATTTATTTTTGTTCTCTTTAATATTATGCATAAATATATATACAAGTGAGTATGAATACAAAAAAAATGGGAAAACTTTAAATAATCTTGATTAGTTCATTATAAATATATAGAAATACATTAACCCCTTGAACCCTTGATAGATATTTTGGTCTCCCCTAACTTACTCTAGTTCAACAGTCCTTATATAAAAATGTGTTCTTAACACAGAGTTCAGGGATTACCACATGTCTTGTGAAAGGTCACAATAATGGCATACTTATGAGGAGCCATTGTTTTTTATATGTTTTAGTAAAGTTCTATTTATGCATAGAGGTGACAAAAAATAAAAAACCGGTTACTCTAAAGGAATCAAACAAGAGCAGGTTGATAATAATGCAAAGGATTCACAGGATTATTGTAGTTTTTTTGAAAGGATTGTAAAGAAGCGAATAGACAATGATAGTAACAACTGATTGACTTCAATTAGTGTTAGAATATGTGTTTTGGGAAATAAAGAAACAATGAAAGGTCTACCCCTAATCCTAGTACTGGTTTTTATGAAATTAGGGAAGTGAAAGTGACCTTTTCACTATCCTATTCTACACTGATTCTAAGACAATTTTCTCCCCAAGAAACATTTTATAATAGTAATGGACTACTAAAAGACAAATTTAGATTGAAATAAATAAAAATTATATCATTTATAATCATGGAATTTTGGTTGCTTGTAGGTCTGTTTGTGGAAATTTTCCACAGGGGCATGGGTATGTTAGTACCAGGAGCCATGGGTTCAAAGGGTTAAGAAAAAGATATATTTATATGACATAGGTTAAGAATGACAAAAACTACTACTTACATCCCAAAGAGCATATATACCATAACTGAAAGATGTAGTGTAGAAAAGGACATGCCAGCTGTAGAAGATATAATTTTTTTTTTAACACACACATAAGATAATTTATATATGTATACTCTTCTATAAATTGTATATGCAGAGCTTGCTTCAAAATTTAGGTTCATCTACCAGAAAAGGTCAGATGGAATTATCTTTTCTTTAGTTTAATTTTTTTCCTCTTTAATTGAATTTTTTTACTTCTTAAATTTAAAAGGAACCTGTACCTGCATTCTCTAAATTTATACATTGATGAAGGCATTTGAAGAATTCTTCTTTTAAAAAACCATCGCTGAATCTGCCTTTCTGTCATTTCTGTTTGCTTGACAAGTTTCTGGAATTCAAGATAATAATGAATAGTTAATCAGCAATGAGAAATCTAAATTAATATAAATTATCAAAACAGTGGTACAGCCATAACCCACAACTAAAGCAAAATATATTTTGTAAATATATTGATACATAGTTTTAATGTGGCTTTTTGGTACGTGCACATTATTATAAAAAACTACAGCTATTGTCACTAAAGGCACCAAAATTAGCTCATTGCACAAGAATTATATAAACAAGGTTAATAAGTGTATTACAAAAAAATGCATTTGGTAAACAAACACAAACCATAATTTGATCCTGTGGAACTTTTGACCTATATGTTTTAAATGCAGCTTCTAGAACTGGTGCATCTTTCAAATAAATACGCTTTCGTTCTTTAAGTCCCATCCATTGTCCCAAAGGTTTTATAAGAAAGCTGGTTAAAAAGAAAATGATTCATGAAAATACATTTTGATAATTTAATTTAATCCTTATGATATAATCAAGTAGACATACAAATTGATACATTCTTAAGTTCAGCTGAGGGCAGGGAGTAGTATTTTATATAGTAGCACAATGTATTCAGCGTGTTGCAAAATTATTTCCATCAATGAATTAAAATGACTCAAAGAAACAACTTGAATATTGAATGAGCAAGCTTTCAATGCAACAAATATTGCATAACATAATGATAAATATAGAGGCCCTCACAGCATGACACACTTCATTAATAAACTGGTTACTATAGCCATATTTGCAGAAAGTGATGTTAGTAGAGTTGGAAGAAGGGACTTATTGGATGACCACTGCTCCAATTCAAGTATTGGATGACCACTGCTGCAATTCAAGGACGTTTTCAAAAGGAATATGAGTGAAGCCAACATATATATATTAATAAATGGGAGATCATAGCTGAACATTGTTCTAGCTGGCGAACAGACAGCAGAGGCACAAAACAAAGCCCTTGCAACAAAAAGAGAAAAACAGAAGGCCTAATTCAACCAGGAGGCAAGGTTCTCCTGCAAGAAGAGCAGCAGAGAATGCTATTCTAGGATCTGCATCATAAGCCATTTGATGAAGGGCCAATAGGGTAGACAGATGGTTGCCATGAATTTGCAGAATATAAATAATTATTCTCATTAAAAATAACTTATTTATATTATAGCCTATGTATGAAATCATATGGGCTATAATAGACTAATTATAAAAGTGTTGGACTGCGATAAAGCTTTAAAATAGATTAATTAATTAGACACGAACAATTTGTGTCAATGCAAAAATATATGTTCAGCTTTAATAATACTTAGGGGCGAATATAATTCATATATAAGAATAGGCTTTGGTCACTTTGGATCATAATAAATAAATGCTAAAAAAATAAGAGTGCTGTGATATAACATTTCTTAAGAATGTCTCCACACCTAAGTTATTAACAATTATAAATGTACATAAACTAAAGAGCAGTGTGTGGCCTGTTTAAAGTATTGAAGCAATTTTTATATCAGAACAAAGTGTGTTTGCCCTCCTCAATACCATTAACCCTTACAAAGCATGTGGTCCTGACAACATCAAACAACGAGTGCTCAAAGAATTAGCCAAAGAAATCGCTCCTGCACTGACAATACTCTTCCAATCGTCACTATGCACAGGAAATGTTCCAGCAGACTGGAGAACAGCGCATGTCACTCCAATTTAAAAGAAAGGGGAGCATTCCGACCCTGCCAACTATCGTCCGATATCCCTCACCAGCGTCGTCTGCAAACTGTTGGAGCACATAATCGTAAGCACAGTCATGAAGCACCTTGAAAGCCAAAATATACTCAATGACTGTCAACATGGCTTCCGAGTCAATAGATCATGTGAGACCCAGCTTCTCGAATTTGTAGAAGACCTGATGACCAATCTGGAGAACCACAAGCAGACTGACGTGCTAGTAATGGACTTCGCAAAAGCATTTGACCGTGTGAATCATAGTTTGCTTCTACACAAACTCCAGAGATATAGGATTCAAGGCACCACTAAAACATGGATCTCTAGCTTCCTCAGCCACCGACGCCAAGCAATAGTGGTGGGCGGTACAAGCTCCTCCTTTGTCGATGTGAAGTCAGGGGTCCCCCAGGGATCAGTCCTGGGCCCCTGTTTGTTCCTAGCAATAATAAATGACCTACCAGAGAAACTGACATCACAGGCAAGACTGTTCGCAGATGACACAGCAGTGTATAGGACGATCACCAACAGATCTGACCAGGACCAGCTACAACAGGATCTCAATCTGTTAGCTGAGTGGAAGATGAGCCGGGACATGGAATTTCCCCCTGCCAAGTGCCAGACACTATCAATCTCTAGAAGTTGTACTCCTCTATTGTACTCCTCTACACTACCAATACGAACTGCACGGCCATATACTTGAGCAAGTTTCCTCCGTAAAGTACCTGGGTGTTACCATTCAAAGAGAGGTCCGCTGGGACGAGCATATTAACAATGTATGTAACCAAGCAAACAAGACCCTAGGTTTCTTAAGGCGAAATCTAAAGATTGGCAACTCCTGTGTGAAAGAAAGAGCATATAAGGCCTTTATCCGTCCGATTTTAGATTATGCATCTTCAGTCTGGACCCATTTACCCAGAAGAGCATTGACAGGTTGAAGGCGGTCCAGCGACGAGCAGCAAGCTTTGTCCTGAACCGCTACAGGAATACCTCTAGTGTTGGCAGCATGCTAGAAACACTAGGCTGGTCATCATTGGAGAAACGAAGACGACAATCCAGGCTCTCCATGATGTACAAGATAAATAATGGGCTGGTCCACTGTTCCAGTATTAAACAGAAACTCGTCCCTCTCCCACATAGACAGCGACGAGGTCATGACAGGCAATTCAGGCTCATACTAACAAGAAGCCAGTATAGGAGCTGCTCATTCCTGCCCAAGACAATCAGGGACTGGAACAATCTTTCAAAAGGAACGGTTGAGGCGACAACACTAGACACATTTGTGTCTATTGCCTCAACTTAGTGTATGATTTCCTCATCAACACCAGTAACAGAAACATTGCAAATCCCATCTACATGCATAGGAGCCAAAATGATCAATAAATTGATCGTGGGCCCTTAAGATATAGAAGAAGAAGAAGATATGAATTCCTAATAAGAAGTTCTAATTTTTTATTCATTCTCATTTTTCAGAGTTAGGCCTACTAGCTTATGCTAGTAAGTCTAACTAATACTTCGCATTATTTATGATAGGTCTCTGAGGAGAACTTGTAACTGGACCCTGGATAAATAAATTTTACAAGTACTCCGAAGGTTTAAAGCATTTGGAGATGGTGTACATTTTTATTTTGTCTACTTTAGGTATACTTTATGGTGATTTTTGTTAAAAAAAACATATGATTATGGCAGTGTCATTTTCATTAGCTTTAGCTTTTTTCTCCATGTTTTTTTTTTAATCAACAGATTCCACACATGAGATCATGCATTGCCAGCCTGGAGTAGATCAACAAACAACCCAATTTTAATACTGACAATGGAAGAAGATCTTTTTCAATTGATAAAGATTAAGTGTTGCTAGAGCTCCGGAGACAGAATCACAAACAGTGTCCACAATTTATTGAGACGTTGCTGTTCTGTCTATAGGATTTGTATCTGTCATAAACAAGCTTAAGTATTTATACTTTCAGCTGGACAAGGACAACATCTGTTGCTGTGGATAGCTATATTGCATTGGATGTTTTTAAGTTTTGTATTTAAATTTACCAATACAATAATTTCAACAGAGATAGAGTTTTATCTAATAACTTAGATATCAAATGTTTTTCGTATTGAAAATTTCATTGAATTAGCATTATTAGATTAAAAATTTACATTCATGTTGACAAATAACATTAAATTTGTAAATTTTGTACAGCATGATTTTACAGACATGGGAGAGAAAAGTTTTCCGGCAAATATATAATATATGGACCAACAAAGGATGAATATTGATGGAGAATACAAACCAACCAGGAAGTTTATTGTCAATGTTCTGCTTCAAGCGTGGGATCCTGATATTATATATATATATATATATATATATATATATATATATATATATATATATATATATATATAAATATCACACTCTAGACATATAAATAAAAAAATATTGTCAATGTTCTGTTTCAAGCGTGGGATACTGATATTATATATATATATATATATATATATATATATATATATATATATATATATATATATATCAGGATCCCACGCTAGTAACAGAAATACAAAAGGGCAGGCTATTTTGGGTGTGACACTTAGAAAAATGCCCAAATGACAGAGGAGGGAAGAGGGTGCACCACCTAAACCCCATAAGAAAACGGCTCAAAGGCAGACCTAGGCTTAGATGGATGGATGATCTAGAAAAAGATCTACAGCAACTCGGAATCCAACCATGGAAAAGAAAATCATCAGTTACGTTTGAGTGGAACCAAAGCCCAGTAAATGTGCAATTAACGGTTAAGTGTTTTGCCAAGAGTTGTCCCACCCAAGGGCAGTGGCGTCACTAGACTTAGGGTAACAGGACCAACCGTTGGACCTGAAAGATGAGAATGATAACTTTCCGATTCTTCACCGAGTGTTGTTTGTGTCAAAAACATCAATTTACCATGTTTTTTAAAATTAAAATTCAACTTACAAGATTCAAAAGAAAGAAAAAGAGAAACTCATCATCCCTGATACCCCCAAGATGAACACCAGAAAAAAGATGTGCGCATGTTTAAGAGTGCTATTTTTTATTTGTTGAAAGCGAAATACCCATACATATGCCACTCATTTAAAGAGGCCTAATTATTGTTGCAATTTCATGGGACATTTCAGCATAATTTTCTGGGGAGGGAAGATCCCCCCAATTTGCAATATAAAAATAAAAAAATAATAATTTCGAACCATAAACCCAGAAAAAAATTTTTTAACGTATCAAAGAAGTACAGAGCTAAATTTTGAAATATTTTGAGAAACAGAACAATGCGCGGTAGTTGACCTGGAGAACCTCCATGCCCTATATCCCGTGGAAGACATCATAGGCCCTGCCGCTAACTGAATTTTAGCCCAAAAGTCAAAGCCCTACTTTTACATGGGCTGTAGTGTTATCTTACTATTACTCCCAATACTTTAAAAGTACTTACTACACTCATTACAAAGTCAAATCACTTCTTCACTGTCTTCACTCTTGGGCGCTGATACTAGTCTACAAATTAATACGGTAAAAGTGCAGTTCAGGTGCGTATATTATTTCTGTTTGAATCTCTTATTTTCCCGTGTAAACTTATGTTAATTCTTTATAAAAAGTATTTTAAAAGTTATATACCATCTTTTTATTGGAATACAACAACAATTTAACAAATTTTACGAGATAAAAAAAGTACATTTTTATGAATCTTTCGTGTTTTACGGAGCCATTGTGGTAAATCAAGGATAACTCTTCTGTCTTTAAAGATACTTTATAAAAGTTGCCCAATTGGATGAATCTTGTTAAAATAAAAGATGTATTTATTTTATAACTTTACTATCAACTATAACCGGAGTTGCCCGGGGCTGCATTCAGAAAAAAACATCTGCTACGTCCTTTTAGTTCACATTGCTATTAAAGGAAATGTCAACAACAAAACAACAACACTATAGTAAAAATAATAATAATTAATTTGTCTCCTATTAAAAACAATTAAAATAACTTATGTAAACCTTTCGTTTTTCCCGTTTTCCGATGGCACCCGGAAGGATCATGATGGGATCCCGAACCCGATGTGATTCCGATAGAATCCTGGTCATGGTGGGATCCCGATCCCGGTAAGATACCGATCCCGGTGAGATCCGTTTCCGGTGGTATCCCAAACTAAATGAGATCCCAATCCGGTGGGATCCCGTTTCGGTGAGATTCCGATCCCGATAGGATTTTGATCCTAGTGAGATCCTGATCCCGGTGGGATCCCGATCCAGTGGGTTACCGATCCTGGCGGGATACCGGTTACGGTGAGATCCCGTTTCGGGTGAGATTCCGTTTCGGGTGAGATCCCGTTTCGGGTGATATGCAGATCCCGGTAATTATGGGGAGCTCACATACTTGACATACGAACCCAGCTTACAAGCCACATTGCAATTGTTACGAGCGCCTTAGGAGAAATTCCAGTTGTATTAACGTTATTTGTTGCCCCACAAGGTGCGCGTATAAACCAAATGCTGCACCATTAAAAATGCCAGTTGCATCAACAATTTTAGTTATTGTTTCTTGGTCGTCCTGCAATTTTAAACAAAATGATCCTACAACCAGCAATACCGCAAAGCCAAAACGAGTCCGTCTTATAATATAAAAAAAATAATCACTAGCCCTCACTTTACTCAGCGCAAATCAGTCACCAGTAATAAGCGCATTTGCATACGAAAAAAGAGGAGGGGTGCTCAAATTAGAGCTGACCAATCACAGACAGCGTATTAGCAGCCTTCAGGGTGATCAGCTTCACACCAGGTCCAGGACAATGATGACGTGTGTGTCCACTGCTTAGTCAGTGATCCACTTCTAATCTCCCCCCCCCCTTTCCCCGACTCGACTTCAAAGGACAACCCCTATATTCCAAGCTCTCTGAGAGGGGAAAAAAAGAAAGTTGGGGTAGGGGGGGGGGCGGTTGTGCGTAATGAAGAATCTAGTTTTTCATTCTTTTTTGTGAATATGCTTAGTTTGAAAATTTCGTTTAGCATTACTAACTTATAGGTGGCTAAAAATCTGGCATAGCGTAAAAAGAAAAATACAAACAAATGGGGGCCCTGTCACTTTGGTTGGGGGATGTTTAAAGACTCTTTAGAAGTAAAATAAAAAGAAAAGATGTGATTTATAATCCAGAAATAGTTAACTATAACTGCCTGGATTTAATTATAAAAGAATACACTAAGTTTACATGATAAAAAAAAATTTAAAATATGAAATGCGCTAAGAAATAATATACGCAACTGAACTGCACTTTTACCATTAATACTACATTACAATGTAGACAATATAATAATAAAATAACAATCTAATAATAGTATTAATACTAATTAAATTACTAAGACTAAGAACTTAGTCTAACTTAGCCATAATAATTTACAATTTACCTTTCATAGATAAGCCTCACTAACATTAATGCAATACCAACAATAATAGACCAATTCATGTGACTTATTTTTGGATAGTATACTGAAGGATCAGAACTTATAAAATCCTCCCAACGTGCGTCATCACCCAGCCAAAAGTGCTCATTCCAAATAAAATTATGAAATCTATCCCAAAAGGTCGCCATTTTGTTTCTACACTGATGGTACGGGAGAACACTCTTATTTAAAAAACTGCAATGTTGTGATACAATGTGATACATTTCCGGTTTCCCACCCACTAGTTATTTTTTTATTTTTTAAAACTTGTAAAATGATCAGAACTATTTAATGTTAATAATGCAAGCTGTCTATAGTTGAATATTTAAAAACGATTTTAAAAATTCAACTAAAACATATTTATAGTTTTATTAATGTCAATGCTCATTTAACATTTTTATAATGTTTAAATATTAAATATGAAAATAGCTATTTAAAAAAAATAAAAAAATAAAGTCAAATTCGAAAGAATAGTTTTTATATCGCATATAAAAGAAATCAAAGTAAGATCCCAGAATGTGTTTCGGGTACAAAGGTTAAATACTACAGGACAAAAACAAAATAAACAACCCAAAAACAAGCAAGGTGCCCCACCTCCTACCCACCCTCACTCAGTGGCGTAGCGAGGGTGTTTGGCGCCCTGGGACAAGATTCGCGCCTGGGGACAAGATCCATTTTTAGCGCCCCTTTTTCTTTTTTTCAACTCTCAAACCCATTATTTTCATCAATAAAATAACATCAAAGCATATTTTGGCGTCCCTAACTAGCTGGCGCCCGGGGACATCTGTCCCCCCTGCCCCCACCACGCTACGCCTCTGCCCTCACTCCTCCCCTTTTATTGGCTTTATTCATCTTATTATATGACTTATTTTTAAGGTGTATGAGTATGATCAAAGAAAGAGCGCAAATGAAATAGGATAGCATGACATTTTGTTTTTTTGTCTTTCGCTTTTACTACGTCCTCCATCGATGGAAATTAATAGCGTTTGAATTGCTCTTTCTCAATCATCAATGATTAAACTTAAACATTAAAAAAAAATTAATTGAATGAATAAGAAAATAACTGATACAAAAAATTTAAAACTCGGAGAATATTATGATTTGGAGTTTGTTGTGATACATTTGAGTAAATCTGCTGCTTTGACTTTGGTCTTAGTAGTTTAGAAACATTTAGTCTGTGCCAACTTGAGAGAAAGACCTGCTGGTTACGATGGGCTCATACTTACTGTATCCAGCGGAAGGACCACCAACAGAAGAGCTCTCGCGGCCCTGTGGGACTGCAGCATCAAACTGCGATGCGGAGCTTATACTTATAGCTATACACAGGGCCTTGGAGAGAATTCATGACACATTGAAGGGGACGGAACATGCAGGGCTTGATGTGGTTGTCTACTCAGACTCAAGATCTGCTCTCGAGATCTTGGGAAAGCGACAGGGTACCACACATTTGGTCGACGTCATCACCAATGACGTGTGCAAAATTGGTGAACTAGGGGGCAAGGTAACAATACAGAGAATACCTGGCCAGTAAACACCAGTGGCAATGAGAGAGCGGACACTTTGGCGAAAACCGGGGCTGCCCAGCCTCAGCCAGAAGTACCAATGACTTTTTTGGGAATCAAAAACTGGCTGGCGGACCACTTCAGGCAGAAGTGGTACCGGCAATGGGCCTGTTCTTTTGTGTTATCCTTTATTGAAATTCAAAGTTTTACGGATTTGGTCTTTAAGTTTTATGTTGAAGTAATATAAATTAAAGGGAAAAATTGCAACTATGCTGCACATTGCCAAAGGCCTGTAATTCCAAATAATGTTTGTATAGTGTATATTTATCATCATGTAACATTTATCACCACTATACATTCATTTTTTAAAGTGGTGCATCTTTTTTCAAATACTTTGAAAATATTGATTGGACATTGTTGCCTATGAGATTTTGGACAGTTTCATTAGCATGTATTTCCCTGAAAAGAGGTGGTGGGGAGAAAATTATTTTCTTAAAAAACTGTACTCACAAGATGCCATTGCCATAGAAGTGGAATAAGAGGACGTCTCCATAAATTGGTGGCAATACATTTTTTTGCCCAATAGACCTAATAAGGGTTTCTTCTGGTTTTAGCAAATGATGATCCCATTAGGCAGTGTAGTCCATTTATGTGAAGAATTAACAACATCAAACAAGTCATCATGGTACTTAAAATGCTTTGAGGTGTCAAGTCAGCTAATTCCTTTACCTTATCATAACTTATCTACCATCATATTTGGGGGCGATTTCCTCACGGTTCATCACAAACATCAAAGAGACTAGAATGTTAACTTCAAAGCACCTACGTGCATTATGGCGCCCGAGACTTCATCACCATCATCATTTCTGAGTGTTTTTACAGCACAAATTCATCAAGAGACCACAATGAAGAATGAAATTAAGGAATTAACTCCTGCATAATGACCATCATTTTTATAGTGCTTGATCTCTCCATTTATTTTCCCTGGGTATTATACACATTAGGGATAACAGAATACATACAAAATTCATCCATCAAGTAACATCACTCTATTTTTAGCAGCTTTTGTTTCCCACTCCCCCATCATCACAAATTTGTCATGCAATTAGACGTCACCATCAAAAATTTTCACCAATTTCTAATCCCTCCTGCTACCTAGGTGCTGACATTTATTTATGGCCCCTAAGATTACCATAAACATGATTCTAACCGAAGTTTTGAACTGAACTTAGAAAATTTAAAGTTTTGTTTATTTGGAGATAGAAAAACAAGAGCAATCAATAAATCAATGGAAATGTAATACTTTATTAAATTGTAAATATTTAAAACAATAGGAATGCAATGACAACAATTTAAATAAACAATTAATATTATGAATCATAATTAGTTAAATTGGTGATCAACCATTAGGGCATATACCAGTAACTAAATATTTTGAAAAATAGAGACATTAAAAAAAATATTTTCAACTGCGTTAATTATATCTAAAATGTATTATTTGACGATTAAAGGTATCCAAGACGTGTTTGTTAATTATTTTTCACAATGAAACTTTAGTAAAAAAAATGATAATTCATCTGTATTGTAATGCCATACATATGCATTTGTTAGCAATAAATAAATACTATGTTGCATCGCTTGTTTGATATAAAAGTAATGTAATGTGTTCAAAGTGTACAGATTAAAAGATGAACCACATTTAATTTTTAAATAACTTTTTTATATATTGCATGCTTATTAAAAATAATAACATGATTTCAACTTCAACTGGAATGATTGCCAATAAAGAAGATATTAATAAGCATCTCAAAGAAAAATAAGATTACAAATAAATTCCATCAATAATCAGTATTAAGTGTTTTGAGAAGAAAGAGTAAAAATGTGTATATCATTTACTGGTACAAAGGCTTTATAAAAATTTATTTTCACAGGGTTTTTTAAATTCCAGGTAATGACATGTCATGCACAAAATATCATGAACAAAAATTAGTATTAAAAATTTTTTTTACTGAATAAAACCCAAGTACACATGCTGGCTTTTCTTTTCTTAAATTATTTCTTCTAGTAAAACTAATTTTAAACAATACCCTAATAAAAATAATCAGAGGAATAAATTTAACTAAAATTTGTACCGTAATATAATTTCAATAATTCCAAACAAAGATTTATGAACTCTTCTTCCAAAAGATACTCATGGTTCATAAGGCATATTATCATAATCAGTATCTGAATTATCATTCCATCTTGTTAATTAGTATTTTTTTAAACCCTCAGAATAAAATTAGAATTTGATTTTAATGTGATTTTTAATAGTATTTTAAAACTAGAGATATATGGGGCAGCATGATTTGCATTGAAAATGTTTAATATTCAACATAAAATACCATATGCATCAATTATCAAAATAAAGGCAGTATTTAACTTTAACTGGCATTAATCAATAAGCAAATCGATACTAAATTTAATACCCGGTATATGTTTCAAAATTCTTTAGAGATGTGTGGTTAAGTTGATCCTTTATGATAGCGTTTGAATTTAAAAACTTTCTCAGGACTTCTCACCTCTCATTTAACATAGAGAGATAGTTCTTTAAACTTAGACATTATAATAATGCAACTTAAAATATTTTTTTTAGTCTGCCATGCAAATCAATCCTTGGATCATTGATATGTTTCAATAATTTCAGGAATAATAGTAGCACAATAGTCAGAATTTAAATTTTGTATTACTGCCCAGTAAAAAAATTAAAATATATTGATATTAACCCTCTTGAGACGGAGCCTTTTTTAAATGACTGTGCCAAGAAGATGGAGCCCTTTTCAAAAGCCCTGCACTTACTTTAAAAATATAAAGCTATATATATTCTTGTAGAGAATAGAAAGAACTCATAGGATCTTTATGAATCAAACGGAAATCTCAACATTCATGGAAATGAGATATTCTGATTTGCATAATTTATGCATGCACTTTTTTTTTACACTTAGAATAAAAAAATCTTACTTGAACAAATTTGCGAAGTTTAATGATTGTTGACACCTAATTAAGTCCAAACCCACATTTGAAAGAGTTTCAATGTGAAAAATTGCATTAAATTAATTTAAATCTTTCCTTGCGGCTACTTATGCCTTTGGCATACTTCATGGTCACATATTTTAAATGCATTTTTAGGTGTCACTTGGTAAAAAAAAAAATTGATATAAAGTGACAGAACATCCTAAACTATCAATGGAAGCCACCATTCAAAAGAGAGATAAGGAAGAAATGAGAGAAATAATCTGATTAGCTGGTACGTAGACCAGCCAGCCAATCTCGATAGATCAGATCAGCTGTCTCAAGAGGATTAAAATATAACTTATATGTCCTAACTGCACAAAATTTAAATTAATTTTCAAACTCAGCAATTCAAATATTTACATTCAAGTTCATTAAAATCTGCACAGTTATTCACACACAGTTAAACAGCAAAATTTGCACATTCTTCATGGAATTAACCATTTTTAAAATGTTTTTTCACAGCATCAAAATTATTACATAATGATAATTAAAAATTATAATCTTATAAAGTGATACTGGTACTAAGTTTTCATCAATCTCCAGTTTTACAAACAATTCGTTTGCATTAGAAACAGCATTGCAGATATTATTTAAGATAGGACTTATTGAATTTAATAAATTGCCTTGATTATCAGTGCACATTATTGTACAGTTCAAATGTAATTTTTATAGAATAAACTTTAATACAAGATATAAAGCCATCTGTAATACAATTACTCTTGTGATTAAATGTGACTTTAAAATCTCATAAATTGTTGCTGTGTAAAATCTTTAATGTAGAAATGAACTAATAAAGCATCAATATTCTATTGTAAATCTTTTAATATACACATGAAAGCAATAATAAATATTGAAGTCATTTTTAAGAATATGAATAATGAATTTTTTTCAAAATATTATTATGCAATTCATTTCCAGTTCCGGCCTTATTATTTTAAGGGTCGTAAATGTACAAACCTAAAATATAGAAATACTTTACTGAAGCAAAATACAATTATTCCTTAAATAGAATTAATTGTTTTTTAAAAAATAGTCCTAAATTACTGGACCTTACTGAAAATACTTAACATTTTATTGCTGTTGTCACAAAGGAATTATCTTAGATGCTAGCAGACTGAACTAAAGTTGTGCTTGGTGCAATAAGTATAGTCATGAAATGATTGTTGCTATTATTTTTTGTGTGGAATTAGACATTTTAAGCTTTTGACTAAGTACCATGAGTGATTTTAAGAGAGAAAAATTAATTTAGTTGATTAAATGATTTGTGCATTTAAAAATGTTAATACCGGTAATCATTTTGATAGGTACCCGGTAGCAAGAAAGATTTTTAAGAAAGAAAATAAGTTTAGTTTCTTAAATGATTTTTAATTATTCTTGTTAATGAATTTGTAATTTGAAACTCTTCATGCTGCTTCATTGCATAATGAATGTATCAACCATTACCAATAATGTGTTGTAATTAAAATTGATCTTTTAAACAAATATGGTAACATCAAGTTTTTATACATTAAAATTTTAATGGATTTCAACTATGTTTAAGTAAGTTTTCATTTCCTTAATATGTTTTAATTAGTGACCTATTAAAAAATATTTCTTATATTATATCAATAACTTTGAGAAATAAATAATTAAGCATATGACTCAAAAGAAGAACTGACATATGACATACTTGTTACATCATTTTTCAATTGTTTCATTAATTTGATCAGATAAATGCTTCAACTAGACAAAAACATTTTCAGATGCAAAATTTATCCATACACAAATGAAATTTCAGGATTTATAATTATCTCAAGAAATTTCCTGTACTAGAGAGCTGTTGTATGAGCCCTGCAACCCGTGCGGCTCCAATATTTAAAAATTGTGTGATGTAGAAAAAAATTAAATTGAAAGTATCTTAAATTACATTCACTAGCTAAATATTTTACACTATCCTCTCATCAGCAGTCAACACAGCAACCAACTTATGCTAACAATTTTACCAGGGATGGCGAACCCGCTGCCCACATGCTGCAAGGCTCGTTAAATATTATGGTGCCACCAGATGTATCGCAAATGAACAAGTTATTCATTCAGTTAATTTGTGCTTTTTAAATCTTTTCTCATTATAAACACACATTTAAAATTAGTAAATGAATGATTTTTTTTAGTTATTCTCAATTAAATCTACACAAATTATTTATGTGTGTGCGGCACATGCATTATGTATCTTTTAACATCTGATAATTGTGTACATTAAGAATAAATAAATAGTTCTGTATATTGTTTATTTGGTGTTTACTTGAGTTGTTTGGTGTTACAACATATAGCCCACAAAGAGTTGAATTGCTATCAAAATGGCCAGTGAACCCAGTAGAGCTGGGAATCCCTGAATAAGACACACTATGGTACCTAAGATGACAGCTGAAAGGCGTCAATATGAGCCACCCAGTTTGGATACCGATATTAAGATGCTTTTGCACAAATTCAAAGTGCAATTCTTCTTTCATGCACATGACATCACTCTTGTTTCCCCATGTAAACAGTTTGCCATGCTGAGCATTCCCAGTGATATCTTTTACAACATTCCTTTGCTGAAACAATGGGAAAATCAGAACCTACTGGAGCATTATGCTGTTGTGCCCACTGCACAAACAGAACATGGTGAACGTGCAAATGACATGAAAAGTCAGAGACCAATGAACCCAAGTGCTGGAGATTCTGTCATTATATTCTGACATACGACCTCACAGAGCTTTTGCAGGTGTGATGGTTGCTCTATGAATCATCCTCTCAATCCCTGTCAGTGTTGCAAGCAGAGAGAGCTGTTCCTCTGAATTGAATCTTATCAAATCCTACACACTCTCAACTATAGTTCAGGAGAGGATTTGTTGATTATCAATGATATCAATAGAACATGAAATACATGCTCAGCTCATTTATGCTGAATTGATCAAAGCTTACATAAGCCGCTAAGCGCTCTATGAGCAAAACATTAAATAACATGAAATTATTTAATTTTTTTTATATTTTTCTTATTTACTTTTGTTGAGCTTTTAACTAAATATTCTTTGTGAATGCAAAATAAACTATCAACTTTGAATGCAGGTGGGGGGGAATGACACAAAACCAAAATGTGGAATAGAGCTTCCAAAATCATGCTTAGAAGCTCTGTCTCAATTGATAATAATTTCAAACAAATCAACTTTAAAAAAAAAGGTTCTAAAAATAATAAATAATTTCAATTGAACCTGAGGCAATACTCATTGGTGTCTTTAAAAAAAATATATTCAATTGTGTACGTTTCTCGCTGGCTGTTTAACTCCCGATATTGCTTCTGATTACTTTCTTGGTGTTCGAGTCAACATTACTGTGCCTCCATCAGCTAGTTTAATGTTATTACTTTTATGATGATTTACTAAATCAGGAACATTAGTAAATGACTGGGGAAAATAAATCAACATTATATATTTTGATAAAGTAAAAACTTTGAAACAAAGGTCATAGTTAACTATTTTGGTTTACCATATTTGTTTAGATTTAAAACTGGGTCACAAACTTCTACAGGGATTGCAAACAATATTAGAAGAATGTCTCATTTTAATAACATGGCTATCGAAATAAGCTTAAAATAAAGTTAGGATTCTTCAATTTATCAGACATTTTTCAAAATTTCTTCACTGTCACAAGCAAATAAATTTTGACTGCAGATCATCAAATAAATGGATAACTTTCTAGGTGAATTAGAAAATCCTTTTATATCTCATACTAATATAATTATTCATGAAAAGGTTCAAGTCTTGAAGTTTCAGATGTATATCACACTGAAGAAAATGAACTGTCAAAGTCATACTCACCACTTCATCTTCTTTATAATTGCCTATAGCAAAGCGTTTATCATGTCGTTGCCGTAATTGCAGGTTCTTAATTTTACCCTCTGATATGACTACTAAAACATATGGATATGTTGGATCTCCTTTAGTGCTGGCACGCACCAAAAATGCACCATTCTGAAAATTTTCAAATAAAAAAACAACTTATGTTTAAAGCATATAAATCTATTTTGAAGCATCACATTTAACTGAGAAAGAATTTAAGCTCTGCTATTTACATGTTTAAAGACTAATACTTAGCCCTTTACAGACAATTCAAGCTCTAGTTGATATTTTCAAAGATTAAAGAAAGTCTTACACTTTAAATAAACACATTTTTTTTCTCAATGTTTTTAGAAATAATTAACAAATGACAACTTATACTGCTTAAATACACAACTAGTATTATAAATTAGTTAAAATTCCTAAAGAGAATATCTTTTAACAAAGTCTCCTTGGGATAGGACAAAAGATAATTAAAAGTGCATATTTCTAAAAGTAGATTTATTTTGTGCTATCTAAGACTGAAAGCGACTTCTTTTTAATATAATGGGTAGGGGATTAATGTGTTTTATGTTGATTAGAAACTACCTGTAAGAGTATTTAAATATAACTTAAGTCTGAATAAGATTCATACGTCTCTCATTTGATTAACTCTCTTTTCAGCCTCTTTTCTGTCAAGTTCTCCATGGAACCAATCAAATGATGTCAGTTTCTGAATATGTAAAGTTTCATATAAATTATTGACAAAAATTGTTCGTTAGAGGCAGGATTCACAAAATTTATATGTTTTTTTGCAAATTTAAGCAAGTGAAAAAGTACAAACCTTGAAAAATAAAACGTTTAATTTACACACACACACATAAGCAGTACAATCTTATAAGTATATTACATCTCATAAATGTCTAGGCAATATATAAAAAAACTCTCCCTCGGCTGAGAAAGCTGCCGCCTTATTTATAGGAAGAAAATTAGAATCCTCAAACAAATAAATTCTAGAAATTGCATCACCTGATTAGCACTCTTTATAACAAATTAGAGTATATTCGAACGTAAATAACCTTTTGCCAATCAAGAAAGGGGAGAGTAAAAAGGATTGTGATTCACATTTAAAAATTTTTTAAAAGGGGGGGAGTAATTGTAAGGCCTTGAATAACTTTAAAGTGTAAACATTAACCCAAACCTGCCCGCCGAATTTTTTTAAAAATTTCGGCTGGCCGACATAATTTTTTGGCTGATATCCGGATTACAACTGATTACGAAATATTCGGCTGAAGCCTGGTCAATAATGAAGTAATAAAACTTCAGCAATAAAACACTTTTACAATACTTCAAAAAAAGTTTTATTATTTCAAACAATAGAAAAAAAACGTTTTATATGCTGTCCTACTAATACAGTGCATGAATGCATCCCATTCATTCAGTTTCTGTCACTCAATACCTGATACCTTAAAACGGAACGCCATGAAATTTAAGAAAGCAAAAACATTACGTAACATCACGTTACAATGACCTGTTTATTTTCCGGCGGATTTTTTGGTGGACGAAAATTCGTCGGCGTATTCGGTGCGCGGCGTCGGCTGAGGGGTCTACATTAACCTAAATTTTTCCTTACACTTTAGTTTATCCATTCCTTAGAAATGATGGAGAAAACTTTAAAAGGGAATAGATTTTATTTATCAATAATCATCCTAATCTCAATCCAATGCTGCCTTAAACCCCCCTCCCACTTTTAAATTTTCAAACCAAGAAGGAATGACCCAGAAACATTACAAAAATTTTAGGAGAAAATATTAACATAAAAAAAAAAAACTTGCCTCCGTGATTGCATCATCGTAAATTTCGTCAGACTCCGGTGGCTCGTGGTTTGGTAATCTAATAGGCACTTTTGAAAGTCCTTCTTCAATTTTCTACATGAAAAAAAATATAATTCCAAGTGTTAAGCTTTATTTACAATTTACCTAAAAATAAATATGTAATTATAGGCAGGTAACAAAAAATATATAATAATGTAAAGACAAAAGTGTAAAATATCTCAAGATACTTCAATTTTGTGTGGATATATTATAAAAACATGGCTCATTTACTAAGATAATTTTTTCAGTGTTTTTTGTAAAAAAAAATATATTATTTGTATAAACTATAAACTAATAGCAGTTTACAGTTTTTTTTTATTATATTACTTTGAAAATAGCAATCTTATAAGCAATCTTATAAAAGAAATTTGCATATAAAGACCAATTGTTCTTATAAAGTACAGGTGAGAATTTTTATTTATATTTAACAGGTCAACTAGTTAATAAATAGAGAATCATTAACCAAAAATACAAAGCATATGCTTCAAACTAAGAAATTTGTTTACATAAATAATATAGATTTCAGGCTGTATAAATCTGTTAAAGCTTATTTATTTTGATTCCTTATAAGATAAATAAGCTTCAAAGGATTTGTTTAAAAAACAAAAAACTGCCAAAAAAACTTCTCCACTACATTAAATGACACATCAACACAATCAATATCAACTTAGTCATAAAAATTAAATAAAATAAAAAAGTGAAGACATTTTTCAAATTGTATTCATTTTGCTCATTAAAAAAAAAAACAACAAGATAAACATTGGCTGCTGAAGCAAAATAGAGATTTTATTACTATTATTTACATATCTATTAAATAGTAGTAATCTATCTCCTCAAAGAGAGCTTCACATGGTTTCAATTTTTTTATCTTAAAATTGTGCTGGTGGATGCATAGTTTTTTCCTCTAAAAAAAGATTATTTCCCATTGGGTAATTGCTAATGATATCAATCACAATCAAGCAGGAATGCGAGAATTTGAATTAACTACTCATGCAAGTATTTTTTTATTAAAGGTCTGAAGCTTGCAAATAAGTAATCCTAGAATCAATAAGCATTATAAGTAATCAAATTTTCATTCAAAAAGAAATGCAAAAATAAATTTAAAAAAACAAAACAAAAAACAATAAATATTATACTTGAAGCAGTTGATATCACTAAATGCTGGAAAGATAAAAATGGATCTACCATGCTTTTCAGTGGGACATATTTTAAGTAGATTTAGTGAAGGCTTTATCAGCTTTTTGCATGTATTTAATTAGTTAACAGTTATTTGGTAGCCATCTTTCTTAGCACTTTTAATTGTGTCACTGATATTTGCAGCTTAATTTTTTTAAGACAGCTTGGAAGAGAGATTGATAGAGAGCGAGCATTTCAAAGCTAAATTGCTAAGCTAGCTTCAGAGTGCAAATTTATTAGACTTACCTCTGTCTGCAGTTTATGACTACATTCAACATAGGCATTTATAGTTGGTGTGTTTTGAGAGAGGTAACAGTGTCTGAGTCTGTACCTGTAACTGTTGCACCATTTAAAATGGACCCTAAATCGTTTGACTCATTTTTCATGACCAGTGCGCTTTACTTAAATGTCAGCTAATTTTCATTCCTTTTTCTCTTGGTTTATAAAAGAAATTTTATAAATTAACATCCCCTGGCCCATTTTTTTAAAGATCTTTATAAATAGAAAATTCAAAACTACCAATGGGCAATAACTAATCCACTACAATGGGGATGCACAAATAGAAATGAAGAAAATTATGCCAAGGACGATCTTTGTAAATTGAAAGATAGAAAAGCTTTGCACTTGTGTTTTACTTCAGAGAGATCTGTTTAAAATAGACACTAGCATTTGTTATATAAAAAGGTATGGTTAAATAGCATTTGGTGAGATTTTGTGTTCTTCAAGATTTGGCTTGAGAATTTTATGAAAAAAATGAAGACACGTTGATAGAAATGAATTTCTCCATTTAAAGCTCAGAAAATGCTTAATTGATTACTTTACTTATGAAATAACTTTGACATATTTAGGCATAATGATAAAGAACTTGCATTTTTCATTGATGCTAGATTTTGTTGATTTGTAAACATTAAGAATTAGCATCAGATTCACATTTATAGTGATTTTAACAAAAATTAAATAATATTGTTTTAACAAAAGAAGGGCCAGGTCTTAATTCACTATTGATAGATCCTCAACAAAAATGGAGATGTTTGATTAGACCCAATTGCACTGAATTTCTTGATGCAGTGTGAATCAAGTTTTAATGACTGACAGTATTTCAGGATAAATGACAAATAGAAAAGGGATGCTTATAATAAAATGAGGTGTTAATGCTATAAATAGTTATAGTGCCAATAAAAATAAGCTGAACCTTTATGGTAGCATGCAGAGCCGGAAAAACCTGCACCTTCGCTTGATTACGGATAACTGGACCAGTTGGAGAAACTATTTTCACCGACTTAGAGGATGATGTGGGGCCTGAAGAAGAAGAACCTGCACTACTGTTGTCATCGGATTTACTGTCGGTGGTATCGATTGGAGGTACAGGGGGTAATTTTTCATGGCCCCGAGGAGGAAGCTGAGGTTTGTTTTCTACAGGCTTGGCTGGTGGTTGTGGTTTCTTGTCTGTTTTAGGAAGTGGAACTGTGAATAAAGTGTCAGGAGTTCATTGGATTCAAGCAAATTATCTACACTATATGTACCTAAAGCATCGCGCATTTGTTTAAAAATCCTCACTATTTAAATAAAGCTTTTAAAGCCAGACAAAGAATTTTGAGAGGGATGGACAGTCATTAGATCTAAAGATTGAGACAAGGGAACAGAGGCATGGACAATCATTGCATCTAAAGATTGAAACTAGGGAACAGAGGGATGGACAATCATTGCATCTAAAGATTGAAACAAGGGAACAGAGGGATGGGCAATCATTAAATCTAAAGATTGAGACACGGGAACAGAGGCATGGACAATCATTGCATCTAAAGATTGAAACAAGGGAACAGAGGGATGGACAATCATTAGATCTAAAGATTAAGAAAACGAACAGAGGTATGGACAATCATTGCATCTAAAGACTGAGACGAGGGAACAGAGGGATGGACAATCATTGCATCTAAAGTTTGAAACAAGGTAACAGAGGGATGGACAATCATTAGATCTAAAGATTAAGAAAACGAACAGAGGTATGGACAATCATTCGATCTAAAGATTGAGACAAGAGAACAGAGGGATGGACAATCATTTGATCTAAAGATTGAGACCGGGGAACAGAGGGATGGAAAATCATTAGATCTAAAGTTTGAGACAAGGGAACATGGCAACTGCATCATGTTAGCTCAATTCCTGTAGATTTGACAATGATTGTTCCACATGATAAAATTTCAACAGCTGCTATGAGAGATATCTATCTGCCTCCAAGTCGTAGTCTGACTACAGGATGACATAAACACTTACTTGGTTTACTACTTTGGAATTGTGAGAACTTCTCCTGTAGACAGACAACAAAAATTTTGTTGAAAAACATCAACAAAGTAATAATGAAATAAAAACAAGTTGCTCAACAAGAATCGCTCTACAGTTAATGTTTTGCTTGCCTAATCAGCTTGTGGTAACGCTGTAGGACTGCCTTAAAGCACTTGGTTGCTGTTTGTGTCTTATCCAAGTCTAAGCATCAATAAAACAGTTTTAAAATGTAAATACTAACAGTCATATATGACTAAAATGACGATGTAATACTTACTTTAAGTTCTGCAGCCATTGGCATTTGAGGAAGTTTATTTGGAGGTGGAGTAGGTTTATTTGGAGGTGTAAGGGGGGGTACTTTGCTGTTGGGCTGCAGAGCATTTGGTTGCTGTATTTGTTCTAGTTTTCTTCTGTGATTCGGTGGAGGAGGAGGAGGTGGAGCTGAAAATAAAAAAATGCTTATTCCAATGACCTTGATTTTTATTTTTTAACCCGCACATTGAACAAAGAAACATTTTTATGTTGTTAAAAACATCCTACATCAAGTTGCGCTTATAATATAAAGATGTTAAAAAGAAAGGTACTTTTTACAAATTATTTCTATATCAATGTGAAAAGTATGTAGTGTAAGTGACCCTTAAGAAAACAGCACAAAAACATTTAACTTCTTACCAAATGAGAACTGCATTTTTTAAAAAAAAAGAAACAAATATTTCCCTTCAATTGAACCCAAAAATTCCACTCATTAGCCAGATGATCTGCTAGTCAGTTGCTTGACACCAGGTTAAATTTACAATAGAATTATTGACCTTTTTGTAATGTATTTGGGCAGCACTGACAGACATGTTTCATTACATTTTGCTTAACATTTTAATGACATATATTTTGGTAAGTTTCAACAAATTAGATGCATTAATATGTGAAACAATGTTATGCCTATTATCAAATTTCAGCAGAGCGTGTTTTTTTCCCTGTGGTTTCCAGTTGAAACAGTAAACTAAAAATTGTTATAAAAATTGTCATTTTTAAATCGTATTTAACCAAAGTTTGAATAATTTCATAAAACTGTAACTAGTTATGGATGTATTGAGTAGAGAGAAGCAATTTTTTTCTTTTAAAATCCCATAAAGCGCATGTTTTGTGGAAAAAAATGCTTTCAATATTGTTATTGTCACAGCACTGGAACAGTCTAATGTAAATCCATATGTAGACCATGTCTCTTTAACCTAGTTACCAGAGAAACCTACAAGGTCATAAGGTCTGTGAATCCAAGTTTTTATGAAAAACATGCATTTTTCACAAATCTTCTCGAACATAATTGTTGGGATCTCTAGGCTTCAATGTGGACCATGGCAGAATAAAGATTTTGAGCCCCCCTGATCAATACACTTTTATAGTTATACTATCTGAGCTTTTTTTAGCACAAATGTTAATGAGTATTCCAACCTGGATCATCTTCAACCTATTACAAAAGAGAAAAGAAATTGAATAAATACAGATGAAATTTTTTTTCTGTATATCTTTTTACAGTGTTAATTATATTAAATGTATATGGTTTGATTGAGTAGTAATACCTAAAAGCAGTAAAATTCAATAAAGTAAAAAAAAAATATTTTTTTTAAAATGAAATTTTTTCATTAGAAAATGTATATTTTCAATATACTATTAGTTATTTAATAAAGAAAAATAAGGAATTACAAGAGAAAATGTAATGGAAATTGACTTACATGTCCCCCATCTGGTTCAATATATAGTTCTTCACCTGTTGGATGCAACAGTGGTACATGATTTAATTGATATTATTTGGTGAAAATATAATTAAAACAAAAGAAAAGATTTACAGTATGTTTTAAAGTTTTAATGAAACAATCTGGCAGAGTAATAATTCAAAAATGCAGCTCAAATAAAAGTAGTCATAGTTTTTTAGTAAACTTTGTTTACCTTGTTTGTGATCAGTCTGGAAAAAAAAATTGGAAACTGGTTTAAATAAAGAAAATAATGCAAATACCCTTAAGTTACAAAACATTTAAATAACTAAATTTTAGAAATAAAAATGGTATTTTTCTTTTACTAAAAATCTTACTGAAAACTTATAAAGAACAATAATAATTTTTGCCATGTGCTTATATTATCTTGTCTGTATTCAGGACATCTTAAAAGATTACTTCTTGTTTTAAAATTTAAAAATAGAACAACTTTAGGTTTTCAATCTTGATATCTATTTACAAAAATCCCTTTAATTTGCTTCTTATTTCATTCTTTGAAACTGTTATAAATAATTGGTGGCAGTATCTAAAATAAAATCATTATTCATAAATGAAACGAAGAGACACAATTTTTATTTTTCAAAGTTAATAAAAGCTCATTAAACTTTTTTGAGGCTTTTCAATATTTTTAACCTTTGTTTAAACTGAAATTTTTAAAGAGAAATTATTTGTAATATTTTATAACATACCGCAGTAACTTAACTGCTTGAGTAAAACAATGAAGAAATAAACAAGAATCAATATTTTATATATCGTCTACCAACACAGGCTACGATGAACACCCTGAGAAAAATCTCTATAAGCATACCCCTTATACCTATTAAATCTAAAAAGCAAGATTAATGTCATTTTTATGAATCATAAATTTATAATCTAATCTAGTACACAAACATTTTTATTGGTTTAAAAAGGAGGAGGAAGAGTGCCTAAGAGCAAAATGAGATGGTTTAAAAAAAAAAATTAAGTAATAAAACTCGTATAAAAGTTATAGATGATATATAGGGTGTTTTATTTGGTCAGAGGTCAAATAAGTTTTTAAAAAAACACTAATTAACTAATTCGAGTACATGCAAATTATTATGTTTAACTATCAAAACTAGCAATGTATTAATCATGTAAACTTTAATTATGTAATGAGTTCATTGAATTCATTTAGGTAAACAAAATACTTTTCCAATTCATTTTTTTTATTATTGGTCTCATAAGGTGTGCTTTCAAATTTATTACCTGGTTCAATTCTTTCTTATTTTATTTACAAAACACATTATGTTCTTTGAATTTTTTTTTCATTTTGAAAATTAAATAAATGTAAAAAATGATTGTTTCTTGTTTGCATTGTGAGTCTAAAAATGGGATCAAACTAATGTCCCTTTGGCACTTGTTACCCATGAGAGTTACTAGTGCTGTCCAACCTTTTTAACTATGTGAGCAAAAAAAAAAACTTTTCCACAAAGCCGAGGGCAGCACATGACCTCTCATATGAAACATACATTTAAGAAAACCTTTTTTAGAAAATTATTCACATTATTACTTCTTACTATATGCATAAAAAGTCACATGTCCAATAGAATAAAGAAAAAAAAATAAAGCAACTATAACGTAACTCTTTTTAATGACATATTTTGCTTTGTAACTAATTTGTAATTTGTGAAAGTTATCAGTAGCTCCTGCCCTTATTAGATTTTCTAAATTTTCAAACGCATTTTCACAATGAAATTTTTCATTTTTTACAAACATCATAAAAATGTCTCAAGCTGTGGAGGGTCATTTAAAATCAGCTCGCGGGCCGCTGCAGCCAGCGGGTTGGACAGCACTGCCCAAGACAATATGACGTTTCTGAAAATTTTTAAAAATGAAATTCAGACCACTAATAATTAATAGCAAGTGTACAATTTTAAATTAAAGTGCATAAAAGTTATGCTACGAGTTGTGCTGATAAAGTTTACGGCAATTGAAATCCTTTTAATTAAGAATATACACGCTATGATTGTTATTGACAATGATCATTAGATGTAGCCACATTTGTAAACAAGCTATACCATTGAATGGAATGATTTATAAAGATTATTGGGTAAGCATGGCCTATTCAGAAAAACAGAAGATTTTTTTTGTTAAATGAAGACAGTGATTCAAAATGAAAAGAGGCCGACAAAAGTTGAAGAGTGGCTAAAAGTGTTTTAAGAAATTACAAAAATAAGAAAAGTTGTTCACAATAATAAGCGTTATATCTTTTTGATGTTTGGTTTTTGTTCAAAATTATGACAAGATGCATTTCTTCAATCATTCAAGTAACAGGAATCTGTTAATATTAACAAAAAAATAAATAAATACACTGCTAAAGTTGTTTAAATCGGTGTAACACAGCAGAAAATCAAATTTCATTAACTGTTTGGCTTCATGAAAAGCATAGATGAGTAAGCCTTTGAATAGAAGCATAAACTATGATGTCAGTAAGATGTTTGTGAAAACAATAGCACTGGACTATAGAATACTGGTTGATCAAAAACTGTCTTAAAATTTTACATTACTTTGTTAATTATGCGACTTTTAAAGATTAAAATTCTGCACCCATAAGAAAAATTCTGCACCCATAAGTGGCACGCTCCTTGTAAATACCACTGAGTATTTATCACAGTAAGACTGAGAGACGTCAAATAATTGATTTATTTCATTCAAGTAAATTCCTGTTAGTTATTTTAGTGTTCATGGTTTAAAACCTTTATCATTCTTGACATAGTTTGTGACAAATGCTTAAATGTGTTATTTGAACTAACTGATTTTACATAAAATAACAGTTCACTCCTTAATTTACAGCTACAAAAAGCCATGTAATATGTTATGTTTGCTCTTTGATATTCTTCTCTCTAATCTACCAACAGCATCAGGTACAATATAGTAAAGTGCGCATATATTTAATTTTTAAAACACAGAGTAAAATAGTTTCATTTGGCTTCTAACAGGGGGAAAATGTTAGGAGAAAACAGACATCTTAAAAATAATATAATACAATGAAAGCAAAACGCTGATCTAAGCTATTCTAAATAGGTCCCTCAAGCATTTCTTAAAAAGATTTTAAGCAAAACAATGATCGACAGAAGCAGAGAAACTTAGTTCCAGGGTTCATGAGTACATTTATCATTTATTTATAAAATGCAATGAGAAAATGATTGTGCAGAGTTGGGTTTTTTAGTATGTATTTTCTGTATTTAACAAAGTTGAAAATTAAATTTTAAAATGATAGGATGCTTATAAAGAGGTTATATTTTAGTTTTAAAATTTGGTGTTATCATCAATAAATTGGCATGTTTGTTGTGTAACATTTTGTTTTATTATTGTCAGTCTTAAGATGAAAAAAACATTTTTTTTCAAAAGCCATTAGATTTGGTCCATTTTATTGTCCTGTCTTTTCCTGTTATCATTCCAGCTTTAACAGAAATAAAATCTCAAAGAAAACTAAGTTCTTAAGTTGATCTGAAAGGCATTTAAATATTCTTTCTTACAACTTCATCAAAAGTGCACAATTACAGGAACTAAATAAATCATTTTTGTGATCTAGTTGGTGATAATCCAGCAAAGCAGTCTTTAAAATTTAAATTCAAGACAAATTTAACAAGCTTGATAATTTAATTTTTTTTTGCCTCAAGGTACAACAAAAAATGTTAATGTTTAATGCTAATTCAATCAGTTTGTAATAGCTTGTGTCTAGTTTAAAAATTCCAAAATGTAAATGTTTTTAATAAATAACTGCAGCTGGAGTGCTGAAGAAAAAAACAGATAGCATAAAATATTTTTTCTTTCAAAATAGGTTTATGCAGACCATTTCACAAAATCCTATCCAATACCAAACACTTACCAGGCAAGCACTGCCCTCATAACAATTGTTTAAAATAGCGTCCATTTTGTAGTGTTACAATTGGATTATTATTATAATGTTGAAGCTGAACTGGTTTTTTGATAGCAATTTAAAGTGTTGTTAAAAAAATCTCTGACCTACAAAAAAAATTATGGTAAACATGTAATGAAATAATTAACTACTGGGTTTTAATAAAGCCATGCCAATTTACTTTGCAAGAAGGCTATTTATTAAATATTAAAATCTGTGCTGCATTGCAAAGATTAAACTTGAAATCAAGTTTACGTAGTTCCTGAAGTAATTTAGGAAAAGAAGCCGGTGCACGCAATGAATCAATGTGAAGAGAACGTTAAGAAATTGGCCCTTCTCACTACCTGAGCATCATCCCAATCCTCATCCCATTCGCCATCATCTGAATCTGACTCAGGAGGTGGTGGTCTTTTTGAAACAAAGAAGGGCAACAGAATTACAAGCTGTCATACCCACTGGAGGATCATTACTAAATGCATATGGGTGTTCATTACATTAAGTTTTGAAACATATACACACAAAAAAGTAGACTGAATGAAACATTTATCCCCCTCACATTTTCCATTAGAACCAATTTTTGTATTTACAAAACCGTGGTTAATTTCATAATCAAACTTGGCCGTTTAAAGTTTATTTTTTAAAAATGCAACGCTTCCTTTTGAAACAAATACGAGCATGCAAATGAGATGCAGATTTGAAATCCTGAGATGGTTCCGACTTGTACCTTGCAAAAGTGTTTGCTCCTGGAACTGGTCTGGGTGGCAATCTTGGCTCTGGGGTTTTGTTCACTTCTGGAATCTCATAAGTATCATCTGAGATCTCGGGCTGCTGACACATGAATTCATAATCATTAAAAAGGCCGCCTAACATAATCTTTTTTTTTTTATACAGGACTGTCCATTATACATTTACAAAGCACAGAAAACTCCTTTCATGTCAAGAGAAACAACAACATGCTATGCATTAACAAAAAACAAAATCTCTATGTACAACATCCTACAGCAAAGCATCTGCCATTAACATCCAAAGTAAGCTTAAAATTTCCTGGACATCTACACAACAAAACCACTTGTTTCCTCATGCAGATAAAAAAAAAATAGTTCACTTCACCACGGGTTGGGTGGACTCCCCCACTGTAGAACGCCTGACTTTTTCTACACTAAAAGGCAACAGTGATCTCATAGGCTCACTAATTTTTCTATCCTTGTCCAGAAAAGATGACTTCCCTTTGGGCACATCTGGCTTATTAAATTGTAATTTGCTCTCTAAACAGCGAAATGAATCCAAAAATGTGTTCTTTTTTTTCCCTTGATCATTTTCTGAGCTTGTCACGTGCTGGGGAGGATGAGTGTTCAAGTGATGAAAATTATCAGATTAAAGTTCTTTTTCTTTTTGCTGAAGTCAAAGCAAAGCTTGGGTGGCAAGGCGATAGGCTCAGATGTTTTGGCGAGGATGCAAATATTTATACCATGTGCTTGAAAAGGATGGATGGCATACATCCAGCGAGAGTTAAGGCAGATATAATACTGATACATCAGAGGTACAGAAAAATTGCATGCTTTTCACTTTGACAAGTAATTTTGACATTTGGTGTTTGCAAAACAACAATGCATATCAGTTTTTAAACGTAGCAATAAGTAAAATGCTCAGTTTAGATGATGACATTACAAATGACAGACAGTGTTACTTGTAAATAAAGACAAGCTGTGCCAAAGATTTTCTTAGAAACTGCTTCAAACACATCAAAGATAGAAATGCACAGAAGGGGAGAGAAAAGGGCAACCTGCTCATTCTTCAAACACACTTATAAATATATTTTGTAGAACACTATTATTTAACTTGATGTGAACCTTGTCTTTGGGACTGTTTTTTAAAAACTAGGATAATATTGAACTAAAAAAAGCATGAATCATGGCCCTGGCTCTCCTTTCTGGCAAATTTTAAACGAAGAGGTTGAGGCAGATCTTCAGCCTGACATAGGGTAGGATAGTTTTTTAATAATCTCAATTCTGACTGAGTAGTAGTTCAGAGAAAATACAAAATTAAGGTTCAAATCGGCAGGGTTTCAAAAGAACCACCTTTGTTATAAGGTCAAAGGTAAAGCTGTCTTTCTGTATAATCATTTACGTCATAGAAATAACACCTCCAGTTTTAAGCTTCAGTAGAAATAATCTGCCTGCCTAAATTGCAGGTTACAGAATTTTACAATAAACATGCAGTGTTGCTCATTGTCATATGGTGAGAAAGATGTTTTATTAATATTTGTTTAAAAGCAGGGAAAAAAATTAATGTTTTTCCATTTTTTAAATCATGTTAAGCACATGGAGCTTGCATTGCAATTGGAGTAAATCACTTTGAAGATAATAATACTATGTAATAACATGTGTCCAAACTTTAGGAACACCATAACTAATTGTAAATAGTCAAAAAAGGTTAACTGAAAATTTGAAAAATTAAAAACATGCTAAGTGGTTAATCTTAAATGAAATTAATAAAACAAGCAATGTGTTTCATCTTAAAAGAAAAAAGAAAATTAGAACTCATTCTGTGTCCATAAAGTGATGGAAGAAACATATAGAGGATTAAAATGCTCTTTGTAACACATAAAGTCATACAAAAATAAATAAACTACAAGCTCAAATTAGGTACTTTAAAATTTCTCTGGATTCAGAAAAAAAAAATTCAAAAATATGGAACATAATTTTGTTTCAAATCACTGGCTTCACAGGATTTTTTTTAAACTGCATATTTCTTCCAAATTATCCCAGAAAAATTATTTTCCCACCTTTTATCAATAAGAAATTTAGAAATGGGATACTTACTGTAAATAATAAAAAAAAAAATATTTTTTAAAATCAATATTCAGTAAGGGCAAGATAAAAGTAAAGCATATTAGGTCATTAATACTTAGATAAACAAATGGCCTGCACAAATTTCAGATTGTGTGACAATGGTTTTTTTTATATAAAAAAAGTGCATCTCCATGTTTTATAAACACAGTATTGTGCAAACTAAGATTCCCATTTAATTCAGGACAGTGTTGAAGGAGCACTGTACATTATTTCTGAACAAACAATAGAATTTCTATAATTCTTCATCTTAGGCATCCGTTAAATTTTCTATAAGATTTCAACTTAGTTGAAACACAAACTACCAAAGGAGCAAAAAGATAAACTTTCAAGTTCGTGAGACTTTCTATAACCGTTTTGTTTATATTGTTTTTCTCAGTTTGTAAACCTTAGGCCACAATTTCATTTTTAATTCCATTGTAAAAAAATAATTTTTAATTCCATTGCTTTGATGAGCATTTTTTAGATTCACATGATTTCCTAGTTATGTCTTAAATGTCGGTTGAATGAAATATCCGCTAAAAGCTCATAGTGAGAACCCATGTACATATTCTGGTGAAACCCAGGGTGACTTTTCACTTGTAAGTTGCCATGATAATAAATGAAGGACTGCGTTCAAGCCATGTGAAGGAAACAGTAGAACAAGGTGTGTGGAAGCTTAGATCAAAAGACAGGAAAAAAGTTGCAAGGCAAACTTTCCACATCCATTTTGAACAAACATACAACCCTGAGGGTGTATCACTCTCATACTCAATGTAGATGTAGCTGATACATTAAAATTTTAAGAAATGTCTGTGTGTCCTGATGCTGAAGTAGCTGATAAAAAATATTTCTTTTAGGTTATTTTACAACTAAGAATTTTCATGATTTAATCAATTAATAAATGCAAAATATGGAAAGGGATGAAATTAATTTATGTACGCATAATTATTTGAGGAAATGGGGAGATCAATAATATCAGTACCATGTTTTGAAAGCAGTGTTAATGAACTAAACAGAAAAATTAAAATCTTAAATGCTTTTTAAAAATCTAGAGATTCTAGACTAGAAATCCCCAACCTTTTTGAATTATGAAATGGCCGTAGTGATATGCCACATCAAAGATATTGAATTTATTTTTTAAGGAAGCAGTTAGCAATTTAAATAGAGAACTCTTTTGTGCACTTGGGGGGGGGGGGACTATCGCTTTGTTTGAGGTTGGGGACCTTTCTTCTAGAGTAGAACATTAAAAATTTCAGAAATGTGAAACGATGCAGAGATTTATTGTGCAAAGAATGAAAATTTTAACGTTAACGTTAACTAACGCGATTCTGTGAAAAATATGCTTAAATATTATGGTTAGGGTTCAATGACAAGATTATAAATAAAGAACACTAACAAACTCAAAACAGCAAGTCTGCCCTAATGACAATACAATGCATTTATGTAAACAACTTAATTAGTGAAGCTGGAGCAACAAAATTGTAGTTGAATTTGGGGCTGTACAAAACAAATTGGGTAATTTGACTTGGACATTTTATTTAAAAAAACTGTTTCATATCTAATGCTCAAACAGGAGCTATAAACCCAACATTGGTGACAGTAATGGATATGATGAGTTGTAATTTTTAAATTTTTTTTTTACGGCAGCCATTATCTCAACTACAGTTATTGAAAATCCATTTCATCTAATTTTTGTATAATTTTTTATTTTGAGTGACAGCATGATCAAATTTTGATAAAATATTTAACAATAAACCTCTCAGCTTGACAGATAACACATAATAAACCATTCAATAAAGATGAAGAATGTTAAAAAATAGACTAGGGAAGTTAATAGTAAAGCACTGAAAAACAAGGGGAAAACAAAATTCTTAAGCAAGTGCTGGTGCAATGTAGGCAAAAGACTTGCACACATGAAAGTATTTCTCATGGTGCAATGCTTGGAGCTCATCCGTGCTAAACAGTAATTGCTAGATATTAATGTGGCAGTAAAAGTTTTGAATATACCACTAAACCTCCAAGCAAGCCTACAGGTTGTTGGGTTGAGCCGTACTTCCTATGAGGGGCTGGACTTACCACCTTTGGTGGGCTCATATCCTCGTAAAAATCCTTGGTTTTCAGAAGGAAAAGGGAAAAGTAATTATTACAAAAATGTAATTAAAAATAGATGTTCAAACCAGAAATTCACACCCAGGTGTTTCTGGGGGACTTTTTGGAATAAAAAATATGTTCAATGTTTAAAACATTTTCTATTAGTATTATTATTATTAGTAATTCAGAAAGTCAGGCAAGAGATGGGTAAACACAAATGTTTATAAGCACATCCAAAATGACAAAAACAGTGTGAAACAGTGTGGATGAAAGATGACACAACTCATCATTTTCATGAATTGTGCAAAACAATTGGCCTTCAGAAGTTACACAGGAATCACCTTGTATAAAAGTTACAATCAATTCTTTCCTAACTTCAATGGTCAAAGAACTCAGAAAGTTCTCTCTGTGACATCTCTGGATAAACAATATGAAGGGGGTAACTCTAATGGTGATAAAAATCTGATTCACTAATATCTAGCCCAGAACATATTCTCAGGTATTAAAACATAAAAATCCACTGCAAAATTCTGTGATGTGAATCTGCAAAGAGTTATGGACCCACAGTTATGGTGTCCCACTTTGCAGCATAAACCATAAAAAAGTGTTCTGCACCCAATACAAAGTTAGTCATATGTAGGTGAATTTTATGTAGTTTGCACATAAAATATAAATTGAAATTGAAACAAAGCAGAAAAAAATGTTTCTAATTGACTGGGTACTTATTAAGTATAAGTGTAAGCAACAAACTACAATTCTAGGAAAACAGTTCTTATTTTAACAGCGAAAGTAAAAAAAAAAAAAATTATATACATTCAAATTTTTGATGAAACTGTTTAAACAAGATATAGTAAAAACTTATAGAACAGCAGCTTTAACTTAATTTAAATAAAAATACAATCATTGTAAAAAAAATGTGTTAAATTAAATTAAATGAATAGAAAAAAATAATAATGCACACATAAATACAACTTAAAATGAACATGATACAATTTTACAGAATTATTTTTTTTTAATAAGGTTAAGATAAAATGAGAAGAGCATTATCGGGGCATAATTAAATTAAATTATATTCTATTGTTATCAGTCAATTAAACTCATTTAAAACCTTAAAGCATTTTTAAATATGCATCCTTGCACAACAGAGGTGAAACAAAGTAGGTGTGATCGATGATGTGACAGCTTCATAATCACTATAATGAATTGTTTTGTAGTTTAGTATTAGCATAATTAAATTAAATTATATTCTATTGTTATCAGTCAATTAAACTCATTTAAAACCTTAAAGCATTTTTAAATATGCATCCTTGCACAACAGAGGTGAAACAAAGTAGGTGTGATCGATGATGTGACAGCTTCATAATCACTATAATGAATTGTTTTGTAGTTTAGTATTAGCGTAAAGTTGTTTTTTTTGTTATGTCATGCGCAGAATGACAGGAAGTAAGAGTGTGGAAGTGATTCAAATTATCAAGGTGATGTTGTAATTATGAATGTTTTGCTCTAGCAAGTATATATCTTAAAGCATTGGACTTGCTATTGTCCATTTGAGTGCATTAAGAAATATGTAAAGTGTAGATGATCATGACAATTAATTATATTACTCCAGCTTGGAGATTTATTTCCTATTGTAAATTGTGATTTCTGCGAATAAAATATATAGTAATGCAATCCATCGAACCTGCCTCATGCTTTTATCTTAATTAGAAAACACTAAGCCACTACTCCAACACTGGATATAGATATACATATATGAATTCTAAGTAACGACAGAAGGAGTGTTCAATATAACAAACGTTACTGGTGGGGTTGCACACGTACTAGGGTGCTCAAACAACTCCAGCAGTTATATTTAATTTGTTGTTTATTTATTAGAGATAGAAAATATAGGACAGTCTGCCTTGGAGAGATCAGGTTGAATTTTAGCTTTTCATAATATAGTTTCTCTATGGTACTTTCATTTAATTCTTCAGTAAATTGCTTAAAATTCAAATTTTGGGGTTAATTTAGCTTTCCCCTAAAAATGTCATGCTTAGTAGCAATGATTATATTGATAAAGTATATGCCCTTTTTATTTTGTGAAAGTGGTTATTCAAAGAATATTGCCATAACCACAAAGAGACTGATATGGATAATTTACTTCTAAATTTCTTTGAAATTAAAACAGTTATGAAACTCTTAACAGAATTTGTTTACCAAGCATAATACTAGTTAAGATGGGCAAAACTTTACTATGTATATTGCCTTATTTAAGTATCCAAACTTGTAAAATATCATCCACAAACCAATAAAAGCTACATTTAAGCTAAACAAACCCACTTAATAGTGAGTATTTGAAATGATTGTTGGATAAAATGAAGCTTACGTCACATGTAATGAAAAAGTTGCACACAAATAAAAGTAGTTTCAAATGGGTGAGTAAGAGATTAGACTTAAACAAAATTAATATTTACACCGATATAGTTCAGATGGTTAAAAAAAGCTTCCTTTTTTTTAAAATGAATACAGGTAAAGCTATAATTATAGGTCATGAACTTTCAGAAAGAGTTGTAAAAAATGATTGTATCTATAGTGAGCTGGAAATTAGTATGCAGACAAGACAAGAAAAGATGAAGAATGGACAAATATGTTTACTAATAAAATTATTTACATTTTAATAAGCTTCAGCCCTCATTGCTTTCATCCCTCCAAACAAAGGAGTAGCTAGGGATAGTGTGCCTTCACACACACCCACCAAAAAAAAAAAAAAAAAAAAAAATACTCCGCAGTTGGCCGAAGATGCCACCCTGATATAAAAAAAGTGCCACACAGGGTGAACATAATTAAAGCTGTGTTTTTGTAAAATTAATATAATTGAAAATAACTTCCAAAAGCAAACTATTGTTTGTTAACAATCTATTGTATCTAAAAGCAAAAATGACAGCTAAAATATTAAAATTTGTGATTGGAGAATATAAGGAAGACATAAGCTAAGAACCCAAAAAATTACTCGAAAATATAGATTTAATATGTGGATTCCGGCCAGACTGGATTAAATAACTGTTCATTATTGAAAGCATTGCTGAACATTTCTGTTGTATGCCGTCTTTAATTCATCTGCATTAAATGCTCAAATACTGATGCAATACAAAAATTAATATATCCCCCCCCCCAACCCCCACTTGTTAAAACAGTTTGAGAAGCATTTCTTATGCACAAGCAAGTTAGAGAGGTAAAGGATTTTCTTGGTGAGGCACTCTATAACATAGATTTTGATAGATATTTAGTTATCTTATTTGTTACTGTTAAAAGAAATCAAGTGGTTAAAAAAAAAAACAAGGCAGAAAACAAAAGCTAAGGAGAGCAAACCAGGAGAGTATAAAAACAAGGAGAATATACAAACCAGGAGAGAAAGTTAGAGAGGTAAAGGATTTTCTTGGTGAGGCACTCTATAACATAGATTTTGATAGATATTTAGTTATCTTATTTGTTACTGTTAAAAGAAATCAACTGGTTAAAAAAAAAAAACAAGGCTGAAAACAAAAGCTAAGGTGTGCAAACCAGGAGAGTATACAAACCAGGAGAGTATACAAACCAGGAGAGTATACAAACCAGGAGATTATACAACCCAGGGGAGTATACATACCAGGAGATTATACAACCCAGGGGAGTATAACAGGGTCAAACTTGCAATGGCAATTAATAAATTACTTTATCATTTTGCTTAAATTATACAGAGCCGATCTTAGGAGTTTGGGGGCCCTAAGCATGGAGCGTAGGTTGGGGGCCCCGGAAGGGGTGGGGTCCGGGGGTGGAGCTCCCTCGAGCTGAGCAGAAAACACCACCCACCACTGCGGCACCTCTCCTCTTTGCTGGCGTGTAACCACAAACCATATTGATAATTCCGCCACTAGAGAAAATGTGTACTTCTGAAATATATGGACATGCAGGTGGTAGTGGGGCCGTAGGCTGTTGCCTAGTTTGCCTGTATGCCTAAGAATGGCTCTGGTGGCACTTATTCCTTATTTTGAGGAAGAAGATTGCCCCCGGCTTCCCTTCCCCTGCCTCCGAATTCAACTCAGAATGATAAATTTTAGGATGAGGAAGGTAACGTGAGTGACACAGACGGCTGCAGTGCCAGCTAATAAAAAACCTGGGGATCGAGGGCGCCTCACGTTCGGGGCCCTACATGGATGCGTAGTCAGCATATGCCTAAGAACGGGCCTGAATTATACACCCTGCTGATTACTTAACTTTTGCTACGGATATTATTGATCTATTTATTTACGTATACATAAGACTTTAAAAGTATTAGTTTCCTTTAAATTCCCTTGTGCGAGAAGAAAAGTTTTTAAAAAATTAAAAGGCTACAATAAAGCAAGCTTGAAACTATCAATGCTTTTATAGATGTTTAGGTTTAGGCATCTAATACACATATATTTGTTGACCTGTACTAAGGCAGTTAAACAAAAAAAGTCATTTTAGAGTAAGCTCGTATTTACAAGATATTGTAATACCTGTGGACTAGTAAAAGGCTGCAAATATTCATCACCTTCTTCTGATACTTGAGCCTGTTGTAAAACATCTCTTTAAAATAATCTTAAGTATCTGCATATATTTTACACCTCAAATTGGGTACAAAATATAACACAGAAATAACAAAAGCACAACTTGCTAAACAAAAATGTAACTTTTATTTTTCGTATCTATTAAATAAATTCCCACTGAAGCTTTTGTATTTATATTTTTGATATGAATTAAATACAGTAAAATAAAATTTTGGTTAAAACATTATTTGGTACAGAGTTGTTAGCAAACAAAGAATAAGATTTTTGTTTTCCTTACCATCTATAGTTACTCTATACATTCACACATAAGAGAATTTATATTTTTCTTTCCTTTCCATAAATCAAAATCCACAAAATATAAATTATGAGGTGACTTTGTCTATGCTTAGCAAAAAATGAGATACTTTACAACTATCCACATTCAAGTTTTAAGCATGGGTTTATAAGGATAACTTATTTTACCTGTCTACGTTGTTTTAATAATTATCATCAATAGTTATTTTTACGTCTATAACTTTTGTGTAAGTGTACCATCTTACTTTTAAAAATAAAATTATCACCACTTCATAAATCTCCTTCAAATATTTTCAATGGCCACAAGAAATAGCATTGTAGTGGGTGCAAAGTTACAACAATATCTCAGAAAACAGTTTATGGTTTGTAAGGTAAAAAAGTATGATACAACGTTTAATCATTTGTATAAACAAAGTCAGACATAAATAACAAGATGACTTTATGCAAAACATAATGCACATAATTCTAAAATATTTTTTTTTATTTAAAAAAAAAAAAAAAAAAAAAAAAAAAGTATGATACAACGTTTAATCATTTGTAAAAACAAAGTCAGACATAAATAACAAGATAACTTTATGCAAAACATAATGCAAATAATTCTAAAATATTTTTTTTTATTTAAAAAAAAAAAAAAAGAATTACTCTGTTCATTCAAGCAACATACCGCCCTGATTGGTCAGTTAGAAATTTTAAGTAACAGTGCACACCTTATCATTTAAATATGCTCAAGAAAAGGTTAAAAAAAAAATATGTTAAACATCCAACAACAAAATGTTAAATTACAAGTAAACACCACATCCACATGCAATGAAGGATATATTATAGTGTATATTACCAATTACCCATTAAGCTTTAAAAAATCATAAAAGAGAGGCTACAATTATTGATATCTTCATGCATATAACATGCATGATAATTAATGAGAATTTAAGTGACAAATCAGATTTTGTAATATACTTAAAATGGCCCATACATTGACTTTATACAGGGTCCAATTTTAATTTTTTTAAAACAGAAGATGTCATTGGCACTAATTATTGCCATGAGCAAATAAAATATTTTAATTAAGTTTTATAATTAACGAGAGGATGTAGCAAGGTGTTACTCTGGGGAATTTTTTTGATTGTTTTTAAAAATTACAGCTTTCAATTTTTTTTTACCAGTGAGTACATACTTAGACCCTTAGTAGATAATATAGAATATCTTATGGAAGATGGACCAAGAAATATGAGTGGTGGGCTATGAATGAATCATAAGTCATCAAAATTTAACACAGTGCGAAAATTAAATTATTTTGACAAATGACAGTTTTTGTTGGTAAGGGAATTTGACCAACCTTTCCAGGAACCATTATTAGGTTAGGAAGTATGATCATGTTAATTTTGGTTGAAATCCATAGTTTGGTATTTAAAAATGAATACCAGTCTTAAATATGATTTAATTACAATTAAATATTAAGTTTGTGTCTAGGTGTAAAGCAAACAAATTATCAAAGTTGATTTTAATCAACTTTTGAGTAATCAGTAAATATCTCTCTCTCTCTAATTGTTCCAGCCTTCTTCATCAGAAACAAAATTGACAGAATTTTAAAGAAATTTTCACTATTGGCATCTCATAGTAAAATGATTGTTAGTCTGTTTTACATCCAGAAAAAGAAAGGTAACAAAAAGAAGCTTAATTTGAACAGTTTAAATGAATTATTTTAAAATTATCTATGAATTAAATTATTGAATCTTTTTTTAAAGTTACAATTCTTACATCAAGTGTTTCTTTGGCCGACGGAGGTGCTTGATTTCTTTTTGGAAGAGGTGGACCTGTAGGTTCCTGAAGTAGGGGAGACTGTAAAAACTGATCGCACTAATATTTCAGTAATTAAAATGAAATATTTACCGTTCTAAAACTCATTCATTCATACGCCAACCACCTTTGTTTACGTTGGAAAAAACCTGAAAAGCATATAACCTGCTCGTTAGCTGACCCATAAAATAATATGCTAGTGTAAGCAATATGGTACCAAATAATATCTAGGACCAGAAATGAAGGTCAGCCTTGTGTATGCTGTGATCTACTTATATTATCATGTTGGGAAAAGAGTGGCGCCTTCTACTTCCAGAATAATTGTTTTCTTAATATTTAAAGCTTCTGGCAAATGTATTTGATTATTGTAAACCACACAGTAAACTAGGCCCTCGGCAGTCTAAAATAACAATTTCATTAGGCATATTCAATGTACCTGGAGAAAATGACAAAATATCCTATGACAAGAAATATTTTTTTTCAAAATTTGTTTTAGATTAGAACGCAGGGTTCTATTTTTTTACATGTTTAGTATGGCTTTTTATATATTTTAAGTCTTTTTACTAACTCAATAATTATTTTTAAAATTTTGGATTTTAAAAACAATAATTATTTTCTATAGTACAGTTTTGCCTTGACTGGCATAAAACCCAATGGGGTTTGGCTTATATGAGCATGTTACATCAGGCTTTTCCTGGCCAAAACTAAGGGGGTTGGCTTATGTATGAATGAGCTCATGAATGAGTATATATGGAAGTATCATGTTAATCTTAAGTAACTAGTGCTTAGTAATTTGACCCCAAGCAGTAGTTTAATAATTAGTATGTTAGTTCTTGTTTTGACTTTTTCTTTTGGAATGTATCTTTTTCTAAAAAAAATAATGCAATTCATAATAATTATAAACTGTTTTAGATCTGATTACTTAATGCCAATTTATTATTTCATGTTGTTTGTAGCAATCTTTGTACATATTGAACCAATTACTGCCTGCACAGGTGGAGAATATACAAAGGGCCTTTAAGCTTTGACCAAAAATTCAATAAAAGTAAAAGATCAAAGTTCCATAAATAAATCTTAACCTCTCTTTTGAGATTATAGACTTCAGCAAAGAGTTTCTGATTGTATTCAGCTGAGTCTTAGAGGCTGAGACTTAAAATTGTTTATAAAACTATAACTAATGTGAATTATAAGTCAAAACAAAGTATTGGGCATATTGACTGTTTTTATTTTTCAAAAAATGACTTCTGGAAAACAGGATTTATACAACTAATTGATGCAGAGATAAATTGTCATATAAAAATTTGATTTTTTAAATTTTAGTTAATTCTTTTTGTTTGTCAGGAGCAATTAAATGGCACAATTATGCTAGTGGGGGTAAAATAATAAAAAAATTAATATACAAACCCTAGGTGGTGGTGGAACTGGAGGTAGAGTACTTCCAGGCTGCAACAAACATTGAAATGAAATTTTAACTTAATATGTTTTAAATATAAAAACAAATAAATTGTATTGACTATTTATATTAGTGTATGCTCTATTTAATTTTTAATATTAACAATGAGTTAAAGTTGCTTATGAATAATTTCATTAAAAAATGAAAATAAATTTGGCTTACAGGAGGGGGAGGTGGCCTCCTAGAAGATTTGTCCATTCTTACTTGTGTGTTGCTTTTGAATGGAACAGCTAGAATTTTAAAGAAAAACACAATTTCGCATTTAAAAAAAAAGAAAAAAACCAACAACTAATAACTGTTTTACTAATTAAATAAATAACAAAGATGCAAACAAGTGTTATTCCTTCTCTACATTGCCCCCCAGCTTTCTTGCTATCATGGGACATAGAATAGTGATATATGTGCTCATTATTTCACCATATTCACTGTAACTCATAGCCATCCATGAAAACACAGCCATCAATGAACATAAACAATCTGAATCATTTCAAAGAGCAGCAACACAAAAAATGTGTGCCTAGCAGGAGCAAACATACAACACAATAGCCCTGACCTCGCTCGTTGCACTGTAGGAGTCAGTGTTGCATTTGTTGATTCAACAAGCACCTTTAATTTACATTCATGAACCTTCTATTTGTGTGTGAACACAGAGGGCCCATATTTTTTTTTTTTTTTAAATTTCTATCTAGGACAGCTGTCCCTGGGACAAGATCTAAACAAATGAGGAAGTCATTTTCTTTCCCCTTGTATCATCAATAGGTCAGAATGGTCCAACTTTATGCATGGTCTGTAGATTGGCAGTGAATATAACCCATTAATAGTGGGAACTGTCATTTAATAATTTGATCCAGGATAAAATAAAATGTCTTCCTTTTAAATTTTAAGCTTAATACAGAGTGGTGGTTCTCAAAACATTAAAATGCAACATTAATTTAATGATCCTACAAGTATTTTGTTTTATTTCATAAATGATTATAAATGTTATAAAATAATTTCTGAGATAAATGAAGTGTAAGAAAATATACATTTCTATTTTTTAAAGTGTCATGGTAAAAATAGGAGGTCCACATAACAAACAATAGCCTACTCATGAGTAGAGACTGAGTTATTGAACCATCTTGTCAAGAATGTGTTTTAAACAGATTTTAAAATCATAATGTCTATTAATTGTTCATGCTTCTAAAGAAACAGAGAGAAAAAAAGATAAAGACTAAAAGATATGATAAGTGAAATATGTTGTCCCTAATCCGTGAATCAATCCTTAACTTAGAGGCCAGCACATATCAAATGTATTGCATGTTTTGCTCATGGGAACTCAATCAGAGAAAATTACTTTGTAATGAACATTATACCAAACTTAGTCTAATTTAGTGCATAGAGTATGATTGCTAAAAATGTCTTCAGTATTGACACTTATTTATTATTTTATTTTATATTTTTGTAAACATCATGGAATGATAACTAAAAATGTATAATGTTGTTTACTATAAATGTTTTCCTGGTATGGTCCATTACTATCTTTTGAAACAGAGAAAACCCTTCTGTATTTTTGTGATCTTTTTGGTGCAAACAAAGGTCTACATCTGACTGATGACTATGTGAGAGGGGGGGGGGGGTAACCACAGGTTGTCACCACTTCTTAGACTTGCCACATATCAAAGAGATACAATAAAGTTGCTGGAGTCACCATATAATAATGTAATTTTACCAGCTGAGTACCCTTGCTTGGCAATGGTGTTTGAGAGAATGAAAAGTACAGTATGCACCAAAACAAACAGTATTGAAACTCCTGCATCTGGAAGGCATATATGACATGGTTAACTGTGCATAGCTCCAAAACCACATTTCCTCAGTGGTGAAGAAAGATATTTGTTGGGTAGTTGTTGGAAGTGGGTCTCTCAATAAAGGAAAGTATTCATAGTTGACCATTATTTTCGCTCATCCATTAGTGGTTTTGAAGGAAACCAAGTTTGACCAAGTCTGAGAGAGATTATATAAGATGACACCAAGTAACATACATAAGCTATCTGTTGTTATGAAATTCAGCTATTCTAAAATTGTACTGTACCAACGGAAGGGGAAGTTCAGTCGATAAGTAAGTGTTTCCACAAAGAAGAATCACATGTGTCTTAAAGCACGTGCTGCAGCTGCATTCACCCCTATGAAGTCTATGGCAAACATGCTTGAAACTGAACATCATACAATACTAAATATATAATAGCATAAAGCCTAAGTCTAAGGACAAGTAGTATTAAGTTAAATAGATAGAAACAAAAACATGGGCTAGTAATATGCCCTAGGCCTACTAGTTCTACTAACTGAGCTATTTTTAAATTATTAGATAGGCTTATGCCTTTAGGTTTAGATAGTAATACTTAGTAAAGCCTAACAACTAAGTTTTAGTTAATTAATACTTCAGTATAGTCTAAAGAATTGGTTGACAGGTCACATCCAGCTCACGACTTTGACAACACACCCCCCTCCCACCCCGTAACAAATGATTTTTAAGTCACAGGAGAATTATCGTCTGCGCTTAGGGAAGTACATATTTAATTAAAGACATAGACAAATTCAATGCTCAGTACAATTTGATTTGGACACAATTATATTGAATGAAAAGATCAAACTTCCATTGTAAGTAGCCAGTAGCATATGGTTTTAAAAATTGGCTTTTTTATGCAGATTTACCAAAATAATTGAATCTCAAAATGCAAGATTGTCTCTTACACATACACCTCTGTGAAGGCATTTCAGCAAAAAAAATTGCTTTTGGAGTCTTAGTAGTCACTCAATTACTATGCTGTGAAAAAAAAAAGACACAGACCCAATCCCACACGAATTTGTGCAAGGTGTGCTTTTGAAGCAAACGTTTTAGAGCATTTGTCTGATCTGGTTGCCAGTGATCATAAATAAAACTCTTCCATACCCATTTGATTGTGTTGTTGATCTGCCAGCTTTACATGAAATGATCTATCTGTGATCACAAGTATTGTCTATAAGTGACTACTAAGAGCATAAATAATGTACTTATGTTATTAAAAAGCCTTCAATTCAAAGGACATGAATTCATTTCAATCTTTCCCACTACCTACTAATGAGAAAAAGAAATTTTCAAAAATGAAACAAGTTAAATCACGTTACAAAAGAGCATTATTTGAATAAACAATTCAGTCATTGGAGTGCGATTTTTATGTCAACTAACCCTGAGCCTGATTTAAAATGTCATAAGTCAGAAAAGCACAAGTTTCATGTTTCTCCCTGATATTATTATAAAAGACGATAAATCAATCGGATCATTCAAATGTTTTCCATGTTAAAACTTATAGTATCCTATTTGGAATCAATTTACCTCAATGATTAAATTTAATCCACCAATGTCAGAAAAGCACAAACTTCTTTCTTCAATTTTATATTGCAGAAAAGAAAAAAAATATGATTTCCATTTTTTTTAAATTTTTTATGGCAAAGATATTTTTATTTGTGAGATATCTTTTTCAGTCAAAATGTCATTGGAATCTTTGACAATCATCATTAGTGATTAATGATTAGTCATTTATTAAATTTACATTTTTATCATACTAGGTACTTCGATAAATCATTTTTCTGCTAGTGACAAACCATTGCAGAGTTACGGCTCCTTGTTCAACTTTTCGTCCACTTGAAAAAAAAAATTGCATATGCGTTGGCTTTTTTTATGCAGATTTACCAAAATTTACCAGGGGTTATGAACAAATGTTGTTTGAGGTCATTTCTTTGTTAAATAGGTGTGTGATAAATCATTTTAAAGAGAATTGGATACTGAACAATACTTTGTTTTTAAAAAATATTTTTGTTCAAGAATTGTTTTGAAAAAATATACCAAACTGAATTAAGCTAAGACTAAGTCTACTATTTAATTTCTCATACACCAGTTGTGATTATCATGATAACCACTGTTTAAAAGATCCAATTATCTTTCTACAAGAATGGACAAATAAATCCCACCCCACCCAACCCCCTGTAATTAAAGTTTCAAAACAGTGACTGTGACCCATTTCTGGCCATTGGGTATGCTGACTTCATTTCACTCTGGATAACATTGATCATTAATGCTTGAAATGAGGGCTCATGCAGGGATTGGTGCCAAGACATCATTAGGGATACATTTAGGCTTCAGGTTAGGTTTAGGGATACATTTAGGCTTCAGGTTAGGTTTAGGGATACATTTAGGCTTCAGGTTAGGTTTAGGAATACATTTAGGCTTCAGGTTAGGTTTAGGGATACATTTAGGCTTCAGGTTAGGTTTAGGGATAGCATACCTTTAGGGTTCAGGTTAGGTCTAGGGATACATTTAGGGTTCAGGTTAGGTTTAATGACAGTGAATTATAAAAGTTCACAGGTCATGGTAACCAAGATGGCGGCCGTGTGATACGTCATGGCACCAATTGTCTGCATTTACTGAAATGAGTATAAGAAAAATCGGTAAATGTTGAGAAATCTCCCTGAGGTTTCCGCCATCTTGGTTGACACAACCAGTTAATTCTGTCACTAAACCTAAACTAAATCGATCCCTATGCCTAACCTGAACCCTAAATCAATCCCTCAACCTAACCTAAACCCTAATTCACTGCAACTATAATAAACACGCAAATGACGTCACGGGGATGATACTCAACATTAGCCGAAAAATCACATGACCAAGGACTGACAGCTCTCTCTCAAAAAATTATATTCACATAACAGTTTTTATCTTAATTTTAGTCTTTAAGACAAGTCCATTTTATATTTTCTTATATGTTTCAATTAACTGAATTAATAAACAGAGTTATCATAAAATAATTTACCACGAAAAATAATAGAAAAGAAAAAATGTGGTATCAATCAATTGGTTTTTTGATTATGTGCCTATCTAAATAACTAGGAAGACTCTGACTCTTAAGGCAAGGATGTTACTTTACCGGTTTACTAATTAACCCTCTTGGGACGTAAGAGCCAATCTATCAGCCCAAGGTGGACTAGCGAGAAAGACAAAAGTCTGAACGATCGGCCAAATAAATCGAGACTCTAGATTGGCTAGCTTGACGTTATACCAGCTGATCATCAAATTTATTATTACGTATTCCTGCCCATCCCTGCATTTTAATGGCGGTGTTTGTTGATGGTGAACTAAATTTATTTGTGTGCAGGAATTTGTGTGTGTGTATAGTTATATCGTGAAATTTGAACATGTCTGACAGTGACTCTGATCAAACTGTGCTTAGTGATTTTGATATTCTAGCAGTGAATCTGATGCTGAAACTGATGAAAACAACCAGGAAATTAATGAAGACTTTCAAATTGAGGGTAATGCTAATGTTGTGAACTCTTGGTTTAGTATTACTAGTATTAGGGGTCCTCAACTAGACAGAGATGACCCCTCTTAATTTTTAGACAACATAGGTCCTATTAGTAAGGCATAAGCACCCCATTTAAGTACTTTATGCTATTTTTTACACTAAATATCCCTCAAATGTTTATGAGAATGAGAGAGACTAAAAGATATGCAGAAAACTTTCTCAGTAACTGTAACATCCAGCTTAATTAATGGGGGCCTGTTACAGTGAGTGTCTGTAACAACTGAAAAGGGGGGGGGGGGGGCTAGAAAAGGAGTAGAACCATGTGCCAGATGTATCTGAATGGCCTCCAAGGGCCTTGCTTCCCAAAAACATAAGAATAAGACATAAGCCTAAGTGAACTAAGTGATAAGTGTTAGGACTTATTCAATTCAAGCTTTTTTGCAAAGCGAGTGCCGAGCTCGTAAAAAGTGCTCCGTCTTTTTGGCACATACACCCCGAAAAGGCTCCGTCCTAAGACGGTTAATTATACATGACATGAAGTTCAAAATCGAACTTTACTAGACTGTGACTAAGTTATTAATAAGTACTACGACTAAGTCCTAAGCCTAACGGAAGTCTAAGTCTAAGTCTTTTCATCAGTTCATGAATAGTTTTAAAAAAGCAAAACAAAAAAACGTTAACATCATAAGCCTACCTCTTACTAACGTAATTTAGTCCATACCATACAGGACGTATTTACTAAGCATAGGCTCTTTCACTACTACCAAGATAGTCCTTATTAATACTAATAACTTTCTTCCTGGTTTGGCTTACAAAGTTTTAAGTGGTAATATGAACTTCCTTGGTGTCATTACAATTAAATTAACTCTTCAATGCAAAAGTTTACTTTTAAAAAACAATGTTGGGCTACTCTCTTGACCAGGGCTACCACACCTTGGGAAATTTTCCAAGATCTTGGGAATTCACGAACCCCCCCCCCCCCCCCTGGGATCTGGGGAATACTTTTGAAAATCAGGCAAACCCTTGGGAAATCTTAACGGGGGGGG